GGTTTCTTTTCTACGTGATAACGGTTTTCTACTTGCTAATCCAGTCTAAATTTTTCTGATTTTAATCTACGATAAAGCGCCCCCACCCTCATCTAGGAAAGCGGTTTTTTCCGTTCACTGTTTATTAAGGGTATAAGTTTTACAGTTACAAATTCAAGGTAGAACAGTTAAATCAGTATGTGAAGGCTTGTAGACGTTAACCGTCTTAACTTTGACTGTTTATAATTCAAAACTGCAGCTTAAAACGAGCTTTTAATTTTTTTCCTACCCATTTTGGCGCCCCCCTAGGGTCGACGCCCGGGGCGGCCGCCCTCCCCCCCTAGCTACGCCTCTGGTTTGTGGCTGATTGTAGCCTTTTGTGGCTGTTTGTGGCTGTTTGTGGCTGTTTGTGGCTGTTTGTGGCTGTTTGTGGCTGTTTGTGGCTGTTTGTGGCTGTCATTTGCATTAACCTGTTGACCACCACAAGTAAACTAATGATTAATTAAAATTAAATAATTGAATACAAATCGACGATCCCGACCAGAGGAAAAAAAAGGGGGGGGGGAAGAGAAGGGATGTAAACTTGCTAACTATAGATAAAATAATGCTGTATTAATAACCAACTATAGATACATATCGTTAAGTGTGCACTAATTAAAGTTATTACTCGTCGGAAGGGGTGGGGGTGAAACCAAAATGTGTACAATGTGTACATAATGAAAACGTTTTGTTGAATATTTTCAAAAGCTAATCCCTCATTCAACGATCAGTCTAGGGGCACACCACGTCTAATAATTTGCTATTATGAAAACATTTGCCCCCTGAATTAATACGCCGATTAACATAATATGTGCACACACTGAAGCCATCAGCAAAGTGGGGGGGGGGGGGAGCAATCGGTACATTCACACAACAAATCATGTACACAACAAATAATGTACACAATAAATCATGTACACAACAAATCATGTACACAACAAATCATGTACACAACAAATCATGTACACAACAAATCTTGTACACAACAAATCATGTACACAACAAATCTTGTACACAACAAATCATGTACACAACAAATCTTGTACACAACAAATCATGTACACAACAAATCATGTATACAACAAATCATGTACACAACAAATCATGTACACAACAAATCATGTACACAACAAATCATGTACACAACAAATCTTGTACACAACAAATCATGTACACAACAAATCATGTACACAACAAATCATGTACACAACAAATCATGTACACAACAAATCATGTACACAACAAATCATGTACACAACAAATCATGTACGGATTAGAGCGATCACCGTCCACTCAAGGGGACTGGGGTGACACCACAACTGCGAATTGACGTGCCATTACTTGATTGGACGTCACTGCTCAGTAACTTTTGGAAACTTTTACATGCTAAATTCTTCATAAACAGTCTCCGTATGTGTGAGTGTGTGTGTGTGGCGGGTGTGTGTGTGTGTGGGGGGGGGGGGAGATACAACAGTAAACCATAATTAATGTAAATTTGATCGTGCAAATTGGCTTCAGTACTTGACTAGTGTCGATACATTTGTTTTTCTATTGATTTCTTGTTCGTTTTTGTGTTATCACGAACGGGTTCTAGGCCTATAGAAAATAATGTCTGTCAGTAAACAAATCTGGGGCTAATGGTAACTTGTTGGATGTTGTGTTTCTGGTTCTACATTAGAATCAATAGGAAAATATACATTTTAGAATCTGCATTTGTTCTACATTAGATTCAATAGCAAAATATACATTTTAGAATCTGCATTTGTTCTACATTAGAGTCAATAGCAAAATATACATTTTAGAATCTGCATTTGTTCTACATTAGATTCAATAGCAAAATATACATTTTAGAATCTGCATTTGTTCTACATTAGAATCAATAGCAAAATATACATTTTAGAATCTGCATTTGTTCTACATTAGAATCAATAGCAAAATATACATTTTAGAATCTGCATTTGTTCTACATTAGAATCAATAGGAAAATATACATTTTAGAATCTGCATTTGTTCTACATTAGATTCAATAGCAAAATATACATTTTAGAATCTGCATTTGTTCTACATTAGAATCAATAGGAAAATATACATTTTAGAATCTGCATTTGTTCTACATTAGATTCAATAGCAAAATATACATTTTAGAATCTGCATTTGTTCTACATTAGAGTCAATAGCAAAATATACATTTTAGAATCTGCATTTGTTCTACATTAGATTCAATAGCAAAATATACATTTTAGAATCTGCATTTGTTCTACATTAGAATCAATAGCAAAATATACATTTTAGAATCTGCATTTGTTCTACATTAGAATCAATAGCAAAATATACATTTTAGAATCTGCATTTGTTCTACATTAGAATCAATAGCAAAATATACATTTTAGAATCTGCATTTGTTCTACATTAGATTCAATAGCAAAATATACATTTTAGAATCTGCATTTGTTCTACATTAGAATCAATAGCAAAATATACATTTTAGAATCTGCATTTGTTCTACATTAGAATCAATAGCAAAATATACATTTTAGAATCTGCATTTGTTCTACATTAGAATCAATAGCAAAATATACATTTTAGAATCTGCATTTGTTCTACATTAGAATCAATAGCAAAATATACATTTTAGAATCTGCATTTGTTCTACATTAGAATCAATAGCAAAATATACATTTTAGAATCTGCATTTGTTCTACATTAGAATCAATAGCAAAATATACATTTTAGAATCTGCATTTGTTCTACATTAGAATCAATAGCAAAATATCCATTTTAGAATCTGCATTTGTTCTACATTAGAGTCAATAGCAAAATATCCATTTTAGAATCTGCATTTGTTCTACATTAGAGTCAATAGCAAAATATACATTTTAGAATCTGCATTTGTTCTACATTAGAATCAATAGCAAAATATCCATTTTAGAATCTGCATTTGTTCTACATTAGAGTCAATAGCAAAATATACATTTTAGAATCTGCATTTGTTCTACATTAGAATCAATAGCAAAATATACATTTTAGAATCTGCATTTGTTCTACATTAGAATCAATAGCAAAATATCCATTTTAGAATCTGCATTTGTTCTACATTAGAGTCAATAGCAAAATATACATTTTAGAATCTGCATTTGTTCTACATTAGAGTCAATAGCAAAATATACATTTTAGAATCTGCATTTGTTCTACATTAGAATCAATAGCAAAATATCCATTTTAGAATCTGCATTTGTTCTACATTAGAGTCAATAGCAAAATATACATTTTAGAATCTGCATTTGTTCTACATTAGAATCAATAGCAAAATATACATTTTAGAATCTGCATTTGTTCTACATTAGAATCAATAGCAAAATATCCATTTTAGAATCTGCATTTGTTCTACATTAGAGTCAATAGCAAAATATACATTTTAGAATCTGCATTTGTTCTACATTAGAGTCAATAGCAAAATATACATTTTAGAATCTGCATTTGTTCTACATTAGAATCAATAGCAAAATATCCATGTTAGAATCTGCATTTGTTTTGATAAAAGACTATAAAAGGTAAAGAAAAAATAATTCTAGCGGGTTCAAACATCTGTTTGGTCGCTTTACAACTCATTTTGTTAAACTCATAGGTCAAAGTGCGTAGCTTCAAAATTGAAAAGACATCCAGAAATACATGGGCACATGCTTATACGCATAACTAAAGTATAAGTCTATGTAGGCCTTTACTCACACATACACACATACACTTTACTCTCACACACACATTTGTATAATTGTTTTACTCTAGGGTGACACCTTGAGGTGCCGGACCGGGTTACACCCCACCTAGCGACGCCACTGATTATCACTTTGCATTGAGCTGCAGCTCGGCCTAAATTAAACAAGCCATTATCAGTCGATAATCTTTTCCAAAACAAATCAGTCATTAGGATTAAAAATAATAGTACCCTTTTGACAGTGTTTCTTACATACTTTTTTCTCCGGGGAAGGGGGAAGGGGTAAGGCGGACACTGGTAAAAGTATACCTTTTCTACAAATACCGCTTTGGTATGAAATATTTGGTATGCTTATTCAGTTCATTTTCGAGATTTCCATTAACACACAAACATATCTGACTAGATATACATTAACATGTCTTTCTAGATACACACATATCTGACTAGATATACATTGACATTTCTGTTTCCAAATACACACAAACTTATCAGACTAGATATACATTGACTCATCTGTGTCTAGGTACATATTAATATATCTGTGTAGATATATAGTATCTGCGTATATTGTGGTGTGTTGTCAGATACACACCTGTAACACACCTGTAACACACCTTGACACACCCACGTCCGTTTCTATTTTCATCCTTCCTGCTGTCGCCCGTTGATTAATAGCGGCCACAATTTTACCTGGCAACCTCTTGCTTGAGCTAGACAATGGCGGGCCGGTATTTAGTGGTCTCCGACTAGTGGTCCGGTATTTAGTGGTCCGATAGTGGGACTAGTGGTCTGGTGTTAGGGTGAGGTACATCATTGTTGGTCCAAGTATAAGTGGTCTCACAATGTTGGTCCAAGTATAAGTGGTCTAATAAAGTTGGTCCAAATATAAGTGGTCTGACAAAGTTGGTCCAAATATAAGTGGTCTAACAAAGTTGGTCCAAACGACACAATAGCTGGAGAACAGCAATGAGCAGACATATGAGCAGACATATGAGCAGACATATGAACAGACATATGAGCAGACATATGAGCAGACATATGAGCAGACATATGAGCAGACATATGAGCAGACATATGAGCAGACATATGAGCAGACATATGAGCAGACATATGAGCAGACATAACCTATTGCCATCAAGACACTTGTGATTCTAACAAACCAAAGGACACACTGAAACAAAGATTACAACTCAAGACCCCCATTTCTTAATTAAAAACTGCTAATGAATAATTAAGCTTAACTCGTCGCTCCTTACCTGGTCACCGTGTCACCAGCCGACGGCCGGCTCACTACACGTCACAACTTTCAGACTCGGCTCGGGATAGTAAACATGCCGTGACGTCATGCTTCTTTTTCCTGGATAACGTGGATAGTGTTTTTAAATACGAAATGTGTACACGAATTAGCTTGATGGTCTTTTAAATATGAAATGTGTACAAGAATTAGCTTGATGGTCTTTTAAATATGAAATGTGTACAAGAATTAGCTTGATGATGTTTTAAATACGAAATGTGTACAAGAATTAGCTTGATGATGTTTTAAATACCAAATGTGTACACGAATTAGCTCGATGGTGTCGTGAATTTCTGATAAAAATTGGAAAAGAAATGTGACGTGAAAACTAATTCGCCATTGTGGTGGTTTCATAACAATCTGCACCACACAAAAACAAAACAAATAAACAACCACCTGAACCACCTGAACCACCCGAGCCACCTGAACCACCTGAACTACCAAAGAACAACATACAGAGTGCAGCAGCTAGACCAGCAGCTAGACCAACAGCTAGACCAGCAGCTAGACCAACAGCTAGACCAGCCGCTGACCAACAGCTAGACCAGCAGCTAGACCAGCAGCTAGACCAGCCGCTGACCAACAGCCCCACGGTTTGACCACGATGTACCAGCCAGTGCTGTTGGCTGCTGTGTTTGTCTGGCTACCAGCCGCTGGCCAGCACGAAGAACTGAAGATCGCCTGGCTGGCGCCCACCGAACCGTTTATGGGGATCACAGCCGAGTCCAGCGTCAACGTACTCAAGTACTCACTCCGAGTCGCGCAGCGAGATTATTTCCCTCGGCGGAAAATTCGGTGAGCTCACACATTCCCCAGCTATTTTATTGAGTTCCGTCTGAGCATTTAAACCTGAGTACCATTGGAGTTAAGTAGGCGAGTTGTTATTTATAAGTTTAATGTTATCCGAAAGCTTCTTGCAGTTTTTTGAGAAAAATCCCGTAAGGGCAAGTTACACTTTATTTAATTAAACTCAAAAACCTTTGGAATTTGATAAATCTACATCAAATTATTATAACGATGTTATGTCACAAAAAATATTCTAACGAAAATATGTCACAAAAATTATTGTAACGAAGCTATGTCACAAATGTATATACAATTTCAAAATCACTAGATCAATGTATGTGTTTTTCCTAAAAAAATTTAAAAATATTTTTATGTGAGATTTATTTTTATATTTACAAACAAAACACAAGATTTTTTCCCCAATGAAAATATTTTGCTGTTCCTTATTCAAAAAGTTTAAACATTAAATAGCGAACCGTAGCTGTCACTGCTTCATGTTAGACAATATTTATGTGAGCTCTCTCTCTGTATATAAAATAATAAGACGTGTGTCGCTGCAATGTAATAAATTTACTTATGATTGACCTCGCTTATGAAACACGACATTAGACTAGGCCTAGCTGTCAATCTGCAAGTGTTAAGTGGACTGATCAAACACAAATATAATACACAGTTGACAGATCTATTGTAATCTACGACTTCCATTGAAGCTAAACTAGCAGCACAACAAGTCCAATTTGTGTACAAAAGTACTAATATCATATGGAAAGAAATTTTCAATTTCCCACTATATGGTAAAAATTTGTTACATTTTTTCTCAAGTAAATCAGACTGTATAAGCTATTACTAAACATTTGATGGGTTAAGGCGAATGTAATTAATGACAGCTTAAATTAAGTTATTTCTAAAATGCAAGTTATTGTATTTTCGTATGTGACAGTAGAAACTTGTTTAAAATTGTAATTAATGCAGTTTGATTTTTAATGGTTATTCCACGAAAGCTGGTTTGAGATATTCTCTTTGTTTTCATCTTCTGTCATCCACACAAGAGGGTGTCCACGTCTTTTTCTGTCTGCTGTATTAGCATGGGCTACAAACTACGTCTGCTCAGAGACTCGTTTTCTTATCACCTTTGTGTAGATTTCCAAACTTCAGTCACAGATTAATATTCAGAGCATTACATGATGAAAACGCTAGGCGTATACTAAACTCTCTAGCTTAATTGCTATCAGTTGATATTTGATTTCCCAAACTGAGTATACATGAGAATTCTCGCTAGCATTAGTTTACTTAATGTTTAGCCATTTTATTTTTAATATTTAGATCTAGTCCTATTTCAGCCATTGAAAGTCTTTTGTTGCTCTGTAAATCTCCGTATTCGTGATACCTTTCTTGCGGTCAATTAGATTACAGCCATACAGCCATACCCTTAACAGATGAACTTAATTTCAGTTCCACATCTAAATGTAGAGAAAAAAAATAAAACAACCTCGCTTTATTAATTTTTTTGTGCGAATAATTTTAGACTTGCCTAAAATAATTTTTCTTGTAATTTACGTGCAAAACAAATCTATAATATAACGCTGCTGGTAGTGTGTCAGTCCTTCCTTCCTTCCTTCCTTCCTTCCTTCCTTCCGTCATCGCTATAGATTTTGGAACCATAAAAGTAAACATTCGCACCATGCTGTGCTTTTCAGTGCACCGCAGTGTCTTATTATAAGTATTAGAGTAGGGTTTGTTTATATAGCGGCATAGAGCTATTTTATAATTGCCACGGTTTTTACTCTTTCGCATAACGTCAAGAAAATATTAAATACACGCAAACTGCTAAAACGTATTAAAAAGATTAATGTCAAATATCATTTTCGTTTAGGTTCCCAGAAAAAGTGGATACATTTTAATAAGATAATAACAGTACGGTAGAAAAATCAAATTAATTTAACTCTTTTCTAATTTTGACAACGGAGGTAATTTAAAAATACATTAAACTCACGCTAATAAAAAATGTAAATGCAAATATTCGTTCGTCATAGAAGGAATTAGTGTTGCAATAATATAATTAGCAAAATGTGAATGCAAATTATTCGGATGTGTAAGAGAAAATTATAATTAGCATGGATTGATAAAAGGCAATCTTTTATTTATTTTATTCACTGAATGTAGGCCCTACTGTTTATTACTTATAATTTTTAATCAACTATTCAGCACTATTATAGGCGCGTCATCACGTTCATTAGGTGCGCAATGGTTTTAGTTATGAAACTCAATTGTAAATTTTAAAAATTTAAAGTACTGGAAAAAAAAATGCGTGAATCGATAAAGTGAAATATTGTAGGTAAAACACGGATATTTTAAATACTATTTAAATATTTTAAATGTTATGAGTGTTGTGTTTGTTTTTTCGTTTTTTTTTTTTTTTTTGCGTTCGTTTATGTTGTGTTTAGTTTTGTTCTGTTCCCAAGTTGGTACATTTAAAAAATATTTACCGTGGCGTGAATGGATAAAGTGAAATATTGTATATATTATAGATACTGCCTATTATTTATACTGTCGGGTTTTATAGGAGAGGCGTAGCGAGGGGGGGGGGCATATGTCCCCGGGTGCCGACCTTAGGGGGCGCCAAATTGGGTTGGAAAAAATTTGCGAGGGGGGGGGGGGTGGAGGAAATCGAAAGTTTTAGCGCGGGGGGGGGGGGGGGGGGGGGAAGGGGTGCAAATCGAAAGTTTGAGGGGGTGCAAACCACCGGAAAGGGCGCGATTTGGCGCTACGGGCTAAACTGTGAGCAATATGCCTTTATGATTGCATTTAAATTGTGTTTATGTTATGAGTGTTGTGTTTGTTTTTTCGTTTTTTTTTTTTTTTTTTTTTTTTTTGCGTTCGTTTGTGTTGTGTTTAGTTTTGTTCTGTTCCCAAGTTGGTACATTTAAAAAAGATTTACCGTGGCGGAGCACGGGATGCAGCTAGTTATATATAAGCGCATATATATATCTATAATATAAGCGGGCTGTGTCTGTCCTTCCGTCCGTCATCGCTATAGATTTTGGGACTATAAAAGTAAACTACGCACCATGCTGTGCTTTTCAGTGCACCGCAGTGTCTTATTATAAGTAATTGAGTAGGGTTTGTTTATATAACGGCATAGAGCTATTTTATAATTTCCACTGTTTGTACAATTTTGCATAACGTAAAGAGAATATTAAATACACGCACATTGCTAAAACATATTAAAAGGATCAATGTCAAATATCGTTTTCGTTAATATTCCCAGAAAGAGTGGATACATATTAATAACATAATAACAGTACGGTAGAAAAATCTAATTAAACTGCTTAGTAATTTTGCCAATGGAGGTAATTCAAAGATAAATTGAACTCACGCTAAAAATGTGAATGCAAAATCTGCAAGACGGAATAATTGTTGGAATAATATAATTAGCAAAATGTGAATGCAAATTATGCAGACGTGTAAGAGTACATTATTGTTGGAATATTATTATTAGCATTGATTGATAAAAGGCTATCTTTTATTTATTTTATTCACTGAATGTACTGTTTACTAATTATAATTTTTAATCAACTATTCTCCATCACTATATTAAGTCATCACGTTCATTAGGTGCGCAATGGTCGGTAAAACACGGATATTCTAAATACTGCCTTTAATTTATTTGCGGAAAAGCTAGGGGTTTTATAACAGAGTCGTAGCAAGAGGGGGGGGGGGGGGGGTGGAAATTGAAAGTTTGAGGGAGGTGGGAGGGTGTAAATCGAAATTTTCCGCCGGCGCTCGGAAAGGGCGCGATTTGGCGCTACGGGATAGACTGTGAGCAATATGCCTTTATGATTACACTAGCCGTCCCGGCCAGGCCCTGCTCTGGCTTCTGTGAAAAACCATTCTGTTAAAGACCATTACCTGTGTGTTTAGTAATCATCATAAACCCGGCATTGCTCACCCAAACCACGACCAACCAAAACCAAAACAACAAAACGCAAACATAACGCTAACACAATTACAAATACAAACGAAAACAAAAACCTAGCAACAAACCCAACCACAACCACAAACACCAATACAAACACAAAGAAAAAACAAACAAAAAAGCAAACGAAAACAAAAACCTAACAACAAACCCAACCACAAACACCAATACCAAAAAAAAAAAAAAAAAACGAAAAAGCAAACGAAAACAAACCAAATCCAAACGCAAAACCAACCAAAAACACAAATACAAACCCAAACAAAAAAACACAAACAAAAACGAAAAAGAAAAAACGAAAAAAGAAAGAACGAAAACAAACCAAATCCAAACGCAAAACCAACCAAAAACACAAATACAAACCCAAACAAAAAAAAACACAAACAAAAACGAAAAAAGAAAGAACAAAAACGAACCAAATCAAAACGCAACCACTAACGCAAACCCACCTAAACACAAAGAAAACACTAACGCGAACATAAACGTCCGGGGCAGAATCGCCTGTTTTAGCTTAATAAACGACTATAGTACCCCAACTTATTCATAGTTTTTGCACTCACTTAAACGAACGCGCCTGTTTCAATTTAATGAACAATTATAATACTCCAAGCTTATCCGTAAAATACCTAAAACACTTGCACTTGATCAATCCCCGCTAATTATGTAATTATTTTTTTCCCAACACCAAAACAAAGTAATTAAAAAGTAAATGCTTTTCAACTAATGCAATGGTTTCATAAAGGGAAGTAATTGTGTTTTGCCTAATTTATCAAAGGGAAGTAAGCGCTATAGGACTAAATAAAAACATAATTAGAATTTTTGTAAAAGATGATATTTTTTTTAAAACTTGTGTTTAATGAACATGCCGACAATTATTACTATAATTTGAAAAATGAAAATGATTTCCCAACACTTTTAATAGTAATTTTTTAACTCATAAATTTAGACAAACGCGCACGATAATTGATCTAACACTTAAATCCGTAGAAATGCCAACGACAAACATATGCGTTACAGAATTGAGCTTTATATATTAGATTTAAATTGAGTTTATGTTGAGTGTTGTGTTTGTTTTTTCGTTTTTGTTTTTTCTTTGCGTTCGTTTGTGTTGTATTTAGTTTTGTTCTGTTCCCAACTTGGTACATTTAAAAAAGATTTACCGTGTGTTGTGGTTGTGGTTGTGTTGTGGTTGTGGTTGTGGTTGTGTTGTGGTTGTGGTTGTGTTGTGGTTGTGTTGTGGTTGTTTTGTGGTTGTGTTGTGGTTATGGTTGTGGTTGTGTTGTGGTTGTGTTGTGATTGTGTTGTGATTGTGTTGTGGTTGTAATGTGGTTGTGTTGTGGTTGTGGTTGTGTTTTGTTTGTGTTTGTGTTTGTGTTGTGTTTTTGTTTGTTTTGTTCTGTTCCAAAGTTGGTATATTTTAAAAAGATTTACCGTGGCGGAGCACGGGATGCAGCTAGTATATATATATATATATATATATATATATATATATATATATATATATATATATATATATATATATATATATATTGGGGTCCCCACCATATTTCCACCAGTGTCCCGCTCACACTTGACTAGGTTGCATTAGATGCTATTATTCTATTATTATTCTATTATTCTATTATTATTCTATTATTCTATTAATACAAAACTGGAGTGGCTTAGGAAATAAAACAGCTCTTTTCAAACTGAATGGCAGCCATCTTAACATGTGGCGTCAAGAACCTATTCCGTTATGACGTCAGTTATATCCGGGTAAATAACTTCTCAGTGGACTGAATAAATGTCCTTGACCCATCTCTCCCAGGGTCTAACTAACCATATGACCCCTCTCTCCCCAGGGTCAAGTGGTACAACACTGAGTGTACACCAAAGGGGGCGCTGGCTGCTGCAGTAGACGCCCAGCGGGACTTTAACCCTCACCTCATCCTCGGCCCCCCGTGCTCTAGCGGTATGTAGAACCCCATTGGTCAACTTATTTCTTATCATGTTTCCCTCTCATGTTTCCCACTGAGCAGGTATATAGCTAGTGGCCATGTTGGCCTCTAATGTTTCCCTCTAATGTTGGCCTCTGATGGTGGCGTTTAATGTTTCCCTCTAATGTTTCCCTCTAATGTTTCCCTCTAATGTTGGCCTCTAATATATCCCACTGAGCAGGTATGAAGCTGGTGGCCATGCTTGCCTCCCATCTGAACGTGCCAGTTTTTGGCTGGGTCTCCAACGACTACGAGCTGGCCGACAAGAAAACTTACTCCACGCTGGTGCGGGTTCTAGGCCCGCTCAATCAGTTCTGTAAGTCATTCTAGCTAACTCGTGATAACATCTCATCTAAGTCTCTCACTAGTGGCGTCACTAGGTCGGGTGTAATTGAGGGTGTCAAGCCACACCCTTACAACAATTTTGCATTTTTGTTTCGGTGTCACCTCTCTCCCTCTAGTATTTTGTTATTTTTAAGTGGATAAATCATTGATATTATAGTAGATTAAAAAAAAATTCATCGTGGTACCACCACACTTCTTACACCCACTTTGTGACGCCATTCCCTATCCCGATAGTCTCCTAAACCCTCTCGATAACATCTCATTCCTGCATCTAACGATGGTGGTAGAACTACTAATCTGACAGCTGATCCACCAAACCTTCTTCAGCCAACACCATCTACTTTGTGACCATGATCTTCCACTGGAAGAAGTTCGCCATGATCTACGACCAGAGCGAGGCTTACAAGGCCGTCAATATGGCCATCGCTCAGTTTCTGCGGGATCAGTACCAAGTGACGTCAGAGCATGTCGTCACACAAGCCATGAATGATTCCGTCATTGCCGACATCTTCCAGCAGATCCGAAAATATTCCAGGGGTATGTGACGTCACACAATACCACACACACGCATCTTATACGACCCCTCTAGCTCTAGCTTTCTTTCAAAGGCCTTATAGCTGTCCCACACCAACCCTCTAGCTGTCCCACACCAACCCTCTAGCTGTCCTACACCAACCCTCTAGCTGTCTTACACCAACCCTCTAGCTCTAGCTGTCCTACACCAACCCTCTAGCTGTCTTACACCAACCCTCTAGCTGTCCTACACCAACCCTCTAGCTGTCCTACACCAACCCTCTAGCTGTCTTACACCAACCCTCTAGCTCTAGCTGTCCTACACCAACCCTCTAGCTGTCTTACACCAACCCTCTAGCTGTCCCACACCAACCCTCTAGCTGTCCCACACCAACCCTCTAGCTGTCCCACACCAACCCTCTAGCTCTAGCTATCCTACACCAACCCTCTAGCTGTCTTACACCAACCCTCTAGCTGTCCTACACCAACCCTCTAGCTGTCTTACACCAACCCTCTAGCTCTAGCTGTCCTACACCAACCCTCTAGCTGTCCTACACCAACCCTCTAGCTGTCCTACACCAACCCTCTAGCTGTCTTACACCAACCCTCTAGCTGTCCTACACCAACCCTCTAGCTGTCCTTCACCAACCCTCTAGCTGTCCTACACCAACCCTCTAGCTGTCCCACACCAACCCTCTAGCTGTCCTACACCAACCCTCTAGCTGTCCTACACCAACCCTCTAGCTGTCCTACACCAACCCTCTAGCTGTCTTACACCAACCCTCTAGCTGTCTTACACCAACCCTCTAGCTGTCCTACACCAACCCTCTAGCTGTCCTACACCAACCCCCTAGCTGTCTTACACCAAACCTCTAGCTGTCCTTCACCAACCCTCTAGCTGTCCTACACCAACCCTCTAGCTGTCCCACACCAACCCTCTAGCTGTCCTACACCAACCCTCTAGCTGTCCTACACCAACCCTCTAGCTGTCCTACACCAACCCTCTAGCTGTCTTACACTAACCCTCTAGCTGTCTTACACCAACCCTCTAGCTGTCCTACACCAACCCTCTAGCTGTCCTACACCAACCCTCTAGCTGTCTTACACCAAACCTCTAGCTGTCCTACACCAACCCTCTAGCTGTCCTATATCAACCCTCTAGCTGTCTTACACCAACCCATCCTCATCTGTTGACCCACCTGTAGACCCACCTGTTGACCCACCTGTTGACCCACCTGTTGACCCACCTGTTGACCCACCTGTTGACCCACCTGTTGACCCACCTGTTGACCCACCTGTTGACCCACCTGTTGACCCACCTGTTGACCCATCTGTTGACCCACCTGTTGACCCTTGTGTTGACCCACCTGTTGACCCACCTGTTGACCCACCTGTTGACCCACCTGTTGACCCACCTGTTGACCCACCTGTTGACCCACCTTTTGACCCACCTGTTGACCCACCTGTTGACCCACCTGTTGACCCACCTGTTTACTCACCTGTTGACCCATGTGTTGACCCACCTGTTGACCCACCTGTTGACCCATGTGTTGACCCACCTGCTGACCCATCTGTTGACCCACCTGTTGACCCACCTGTTGACCCACCTGTTGACCCACCTGTTGACCCATGTGTTGACCAACCTGTTGACCCATGTGTTGACCCATGTGTTGACCCATGTGTTGACCCATCTGTTGACCCACCTGTTGATCCACGTGTTGACCCACCTGTTGACCCATGTGTTGACCAACCTGTTGACCCACCTGTTGACCCACCTGTTGACCCACCTGTTGACCCACCTGTTGACCCATGTGTTGACCCACCTGTTGACCCATGTGTTGACCCATGCGTTGACCCATGTGTTGACCCATCTGTTGACCCACCTGTTGACCCACCTGCTGACCCATCTGTTGACCCACCTGTTGACCCACCTGTTGACCCACCTGTTGACCCACCTGTTGACCCATGTGTTGACCAACCTGTTGACCCATGTGTTGACCCATGTGTTGACCCATGTGTTGACCCACCTGTTGATCCATGTGTTGACCCACCTGTTGATCCATGTGTTGACCCACCTGTTGATCCATGTGTTGACCCACCTGTTGACCCATGTGTTGACCCACCTGTTGACCCCTCCCTCTAGTGATGATCCTCTCCGTGCCGTGGATGACCTTGAGACGCTACATGTTGGTGGCCCACAAGCTTGGCATGACATCTGGTGATTTTGTTTTCATATGCATGAATGGTGACGTAAGTGGTCGTTTTAGTGCTCACCTCATATGTAGAGTTGATTCATCAATGCTCACCTCATATGTAGAGTTGATTCATTAATGCTCACCTCATATGTAGAGTTGATTCATTAATGCTCACCTCATATGTAGAGTTGATTTATTAATGCTCACCTCATATGTAGAGTTGATTCATTAATTCTCACCGCATATGTAGAGTTGATTCATTAATTCTCACCTCATATGTAGAGTTGATTCATTAATGCTCACCTCATATGTAGAGTTGATTCATTAATGCTCACCTCATATGTAGAGTTGATTCATTAATGCTCACCTAATGTGTTAAGTTGATTCATTAATGCTCACCTCATATGTAGAGTTGATTCATTAATGCTCACCTCATATGTAGAGTTGATTCATTAATGCTCACCTAATGTGTTAAGTTGATTCATTAATGCTCACCTCATATGTAGAGTTGATTCATTAATGCTCACCTCATATGTAGAGTTGATTCATTAATGCTCACCTAATGTGTTAAGTTGATTCATTAATGCTCACCTCATATGTAGAGTTGATTCTTTAATGCTCACCTCATATGTAGAGTTGATTCATCAATGCTCACCTCATATGTAGAGTTGATTCTTTAATGCTCACCTCATATGTAGAGTTGATTCATCAATGCTCACCTTATGTGTTGAGTTGATTCATCAATGCTCACCTCATATGTAGAGTTGATTCTTTAATGCTCACCTCATATGTAGAGTTGATTCATCAATGCTCACCTTATGTGTTGAGTTGATTCATCAATGCTCACCTCATATGTAGAGTTGATTCATCAATGCTCACCTCATATGTAGAGTTGATTCATCAATGCTCACCTTATGTGTTAAGTTGATTCATTAATGCTCACCTCATATGTAGAGTTGATTCATTAATGCTCACCTCATATGTAGAGTTGATTCATTAATGCTCACCTCATATGTAGAGTTGATTAATTAATGCTCACCTTATGTGTTGAGTTGATTCATTAATGCTCACCTCATATGTAGATTTGATTCATTAATGCTCACCTAATGTGTTAAGTTGATTCATTAATGCTCACCTCATATGTAGAGTTGATTCATTAATGCTCACCTCATATGTAGAGTTGATTCATTAATGCTCACCTCATATGTAGAGTTGATTCATTAATGCTCACCTCATATGTAGATTTGATTCATTAATGCTCACCTCATATGTAGAGTTGATTCATTAATGCTCACCTCATATGTAGATTTGATTCATTAATGCTCACCTCATATGAAGAGTTGATTTATTAATGCTCACCTCATATGTAGATTTGATTCATCAATGCTCACCTCATATGTAGAGTTGATTATTTAATGCTCACCTCATATGTAGAGTTGATTCCTTAATGCTCACCTACTATGCTGATACCCCATGTACTCTTTATTTTGATATTATACTCAGTTTTCCCCCTCTACCTGCCTGCACCTGCCTGTTCTCACCTGTCACCTGCCTGTACCTGACTGCATTCGCCTGTACCTGCCTGTCACCTGCACTGTACCTGCCTGTCACCTGTCACCTGCCCTGTACCTGCCTGTCACCTGCCTGTACCTGCCTGTACCTGCCTGTACTCTTTATTTTGCTATTATACTCAGTTTTCCCCCTCCACCTGCCTGCACCTGTGTATTTTCACCTGTCACCTGCATGTGCCTGCCTGTTCTCACCTGTCACCTGCCCTGTACCTGCCTGTTCTCACCTGTCACCTGCCTGTATCTGACTGCATTCGCCTGTGCCTGCCTGTCACCTGCCTGTACCTGCCAACAGGTGTACCTGAAGCCTGAGCTCTACCGTGACGTTTTGTCTGATGCCGGATGGAGGAGGAACGACACAGACGACGACGACGCAAGACAAGCTTTTGAATCGGTCATACATGTCAGTATAGCGTCACACAAGCGTCACACAATTTAGTGACACAGGACGTCACACAACACGTCACACAGCACGTCACACATGACGTCACACATGACGTCACACAATTTAGTGACACAGGACGTCACACAACACGTCACACATGACGTCACACATGACGTCACACAACACACGTCATACACGACGTCACACAACACGTCACGCAGCACGTCACACATGACGTCACACATAAAGTCACACATAACGTCACATAACACGTCACACAACACGTCACACAACACGTCACACATGACGTCACACAACACGTTACAGAGGAGTCACACAATAAGTGATATAAGTGGGCAGCGGAAATGTTCCCTAAAACCCCTGCCACGCCATTCGATTCCCCCCCCCCCCCCCCCCCCATCTAATCTCCCTCCGCTAATTCCCTCCCTCACTAATCCCGAGCAGATTATCATGGACGGCGGGAACCTGGAAGCTTTCGAGCAGTTCTCGCGTTATTCTCAGATGGCCAGTAACTACAGGAACGATTACTGGGAGCTTCCCGAGAGCAACAAGGTCAGTTCAAGGTCACTACTAGGATTATCTAGGCGTCACTACACACACGTAGACATACACAAACACACTAACCTGTCTGTTGCCCCCCCCACACACTAACCTGTCTGTTCCCCCCCCCCCACCCACACACTAACCTGTCTGTTTCCCCCCCCACACACACTAACCAGTCTGTTGCCCCCCCCCACAACCACACACTAACCTATCTGTTGCCCCCCCCACACCCACACTAACCTGTCTGTTGCCCCCCCCCCCCCCACACCCACACACTAACCTGTCTGTTGCCCCCCCCCCCCACACCCACACACTAACCTGTCTGTTGCCCCCCCCCCCCACACCCACACACTAACCTGTCTGTTGCCCCCCCCCCACACCCACACACTAACCTGTCTGTTGCCCCCCCCCCACACCCACACACTAACCTGTCTGTTGCCCCCCACACACCCACACTAACCTGTCTGTTGCCCCCCCCCCCACACCCACACACTAACCTGTCTGTTGCCCCCCCCCCCCACACCCACACACTAACCTGTCTGTTGCCCCCCCCACACCCACACTAACCTGTCTGTTGCCCCCCCCCCCCCACACCCACACACTAACCTGTCTGTTGCCCCCCCCCCCCCCACACCCACACTAACCTGTCTGTTGCCCCCCCCCCCCACACCCACACTAACCTGTCTGTTGCCCCCCCCCCCCACACCCACACTAACCTGTCTGTTGCCCCCCCCCCCACACCCACACTAACCTGTCTGTTGCCCCCCCCCACACCCACACTAACCTGTCTGTTGCCCCCCCCCCCACACCCACACTAACCTGTCTGTTGCCCCCCCCCCACACCCACACTAACCTGTCTGTTGCCCCCCCCCCACACCCACACACTAACCTGTCTGTTGCCCCCCCCCACACCCACACTAACCTGTCTGTTGCCCCCCCCCCACACCCACACACTAACCTGTCTGTTGCCCCCCCCCCCACACCCACACACTAACCTGTCTGTTGCCCCCCCCCCCCCACACCCACACACTAACCTGTCTGTTGCCCCCCACACACCCACACTAACCTGTCTGTTGCCCCCCCCACACCCACACACTAACCTGTCTGTTGCCCCCCCCCCACACCCACACACTAACCTGTCTGTTGCCCCCCCCACACCCACACTAACCTGTCTGTTGCCCCCCCCCACACCCACACACTAACCTGTCTGTTGCCCCCCCCCCCACACCCACACTAACCTGTCTGTTGCCCCCCCCCCCCCACACCCACACTAACCTGTCTGTTGCCCCCCCCCCCACACCCACACTAACCTGTCTGTTGCCCCCCCCCCACACCCACACTAACCTGTCTGTTGCCCCCCCCCACACCCACACACTAACCTGTCTGTTGCCCCCCCCCCCACACCCACACTAACCTGTCTGTTGCCCCCCCCCCCCACACCCACACTAACCTGTCTGTTGCCCCCCCCCCACACCCACACTAACCTGTCTGTTGCCCCCCCCCCCCACACCCACACTAACCTGTCTGTTGCCCCCCCCCCCCACACCCACACTAACCTGTCTGTTGCCCCCCCCCCCACACCCACACTAACCTGTCTGTTGCCCCCCCCCCCCACACCCACACACTAACCTGTCTGTTGCCCCCCCCCCCACACCCACACTAACCTGTCTGTTGCCCCCCCCCACACCCACACTAACCTGTCTGTTGCCCCCCCCCCCACACCCACACTAACCTGTCTGTTGCCCCCCCCCCCCACACCCACACACTAACCTGTCTGTTGCCCCCCCCCACACCCACACTAACCTGTCTGTTGCCCCCCCCCCCCACACCCACACTAACCTGTCTGTTGCCCCCCCCCCACACCCACACTAACCTGTCTGTTGCCCCCCCCCCACACCCACACTAACCTGTCTGTTGCCCCCCCCCACACCCACACTAACCTGTCTGTTGCCCCCCCCCCCACACCCACACACTAACCTGTCTGTTGCCCCCCCCCACACCCACACTAACCTGTCTGTTGCCCCCCCCCCCACACCCACACTAACCTGTCTGTTGCCCCCCCCCCCCCACACCCACACACTAACCTGTCTGTTGCCCCCCCCCCACACCCACACTAACCTGTCTGTTGCCCCCCCCCCCCACACCCACACTAACCTGTCTGTTGCCCCCCCCCCCACACCCACACTAACCTGTCTGTTGCCCCCCCCCCCACACCCACACACTAACCTGTCTGTTGCCCCCCCCCCCACACCCACACACTAACCTGTCTGTTGCCCCCCCCCCCCCACACCCACACTAACCTGTCTGTTGCCCCCCCCCCCCACACCCACACTAACCTGTCTGTTGCCCCCCCCCACACCCACACTAACCTGTCTGTTGCCCCCCCCCCACACCCACACACTAACCTGTCTGTTGCCCCCCCACACCCACACCCACACACTAACCTGTCTGTTGCCCCCCCCACACCCACACTAACCTGTCTGTTGCCCCCCCACACCCACACACTAACCTGTCTGTTGCCCCCCCCCCCACCCACACACTAACCTGTCTGTTGCCCCCCCCCCCCCCCCACACACTAACCTGACTGTTGCCCCCCCCCCACACCCACACCCACACACTAACCTGACTGTTGCCCCCCCCACACACCCACACACTAACCTGTCTGTTGCCCCCCCCCCCCCACACCCACACCCACACACTAACCTGTCTGTTGCCCCCCCACACCCACACACTAACCTGACTGTTGCCCCCCCCCCCCACACCCACACACTAACCTGTCTGTTGCCCCCACCACACCCACACCCACACACTAACCTGTCTATTACCACCCCCAGTCATTTGACGCCTACGCCCCCTTTGTGTACGACGCCACGGTGCTCTGGGCTGTCATCGTCAACAAGACGCTCCAGGAGGGCGGCGACCCCAGGAACGGTTCCAGGATCATGGAGCTGGCTAAAGGGGTCAACGCCACAGGTACGCGCCGTGTGGGTGGCGCCCCACACTACGGTGTCGGTGGCGCCCCGCACTAAGGTGTCGGTGGCGCCCCGCACTAAGGTGTAGGTGGCGCCCCGCACTAAGGTGTAGGTGGCGCCCCGCACTAAGGTGTAGGTGGCGCCCCACACTAAGGTGTAGGTGGCGCCCCGCACTAAGGTGTAGGTGGCGCCCCGCACTAAGGTGTAGGTGGCGCCCCGCACTAAGGTGTAGGTGGCGCCCCGCACTAAGTTGTTGGTGGCGCCCCACACTAAGGTGTAGGTGGCGCCCCACACTAAGGTGTAGGTGGCGCCCCACACTTAGGTGTAGGTGGCGCCCCGCACTAAGGTGTAGGTGGCGCCCCACACTAAGGTGTAGGTGGCGCCCCACACTAAGGTGTAGGTGGCACCCCGCACTAAGGTGTAGGTGGCGCCCCACACTAAGGTGTAGGTGGCGCCCCGCACTAAGTTGTTGGTGGCGCCCCACACTTAGGTGTAGGTGGCGCCCCACACTAAGGTGTAGGTGGCGCCCCACACTTAGGTGTAGGTGGCGCCCCGCACTAAGGTGTAGGTGGCGCCCCACACTAAGGTGTAGGTGGCGCCCCGCACTAAGGTGTAGGTGGCGCCCCACACTTAGGTGTTGGTGGCGCCCCACACTTAGGTGTAGGTGGCGCCCCACACTTAGGTGTAGGTGGCGCCCCACACTTAGGTGTTGGTGGCGCCCCACACTTAGGTGTAGGTGGCGCCCCACACTTAGGTGTAGGTGGCGCCCCACACTAAGGTGTAGGTGGCGCCCCACACTTAGGTGTTGGTGGCGCCCCACACTTAGGTGTAGGTGGCGCCCCACACTTAGGTGTAGGTGGCGCCCCACACTAAGGTGTAGGTGGCGCCCCATCTAGTATTGTTGTGAGATAGAAGCTTTGAACACAAGCGCATTTTTTTCTTCTGATTGAGGTGATGTGTTGAATGGTGCTCTTTAAGGAATAGGATGTTGTATGTTACTGATGGTGCTTAATGATGTTGGTGGTATTTGTTGCTGATGTTTATGTTACTGGATGGTGTGTTACGTGATGTTATTGATGTTGCTTGTTGTTGATGTTGCTTGTTGCTGATGTTGTTGATGGTGTTGATGATGTTGTTGATGGTGTTGATGATGTTGTTGATGTTGCTTGTTGCTGATGTTGTATGTTGTTGATGGTGCTGTATGTTGCTGATGTTGTTGATGGTGCTGTATGTTGCTGATGTTGTTGATGGTGCTGTATGTTGTTGATGTTGCTAATGTTGTTGATGGTGTTGATGATGTTGTATGCTACTTGACGCTCCTACTGTCAGGCATCACGGGTAAGATCATCATGGACTACAACTGTGACCGTCTGTCGAACGTCTGGCTCCTGGACATGGCAGCAGACGGCAGGTTCGTCGACTTCCTCAAGATCACCAACCTGGGCAACCGCGCGCATCTGGACAGGGTCAGTATACCTGACACTGTAGGGACTGACATGTGACACTGACATGTGACACTGCCAATGGACTGACATGTTACACTGCCAATGGACTGACATGTGACACTGACAGTAGACTGACACGTGACACTGCCAATGGACTGACACGTGACACTGACATGTGACACTGCCAATGGACTGACATGTGACACTGCCAATGGACTGACATGTGACACTGACAGTAGACTGACATGTGACACTGCCAATGGAATGACACGTGACACGGACAATGGACTGACATGTGACACTGACATGTGACAATGCCAATGGACTGACACGTGACACTGACAGTAGACTGACATGTGACACTGCCAATGGACTGACACTGCTAATGGACTGACATGTGACACTGCCAATGGACTGACAATGGATACTTTCTTTGCTGTAGGAAGCTGACGCAGTGAGGTGGCCTGATGGAAAGAGTGGCAAGAACAATGCTCCACCAGACACTCCACCATGTGGATTCGACGGAGAATTTTGTAAAGCACGTAAGTTTGGCAGCACCTAAATAGCTGGCTAAAGTTTGGCTGCAGCTAAGTAGCTGGCTATCTTATGGCTAAAGTTTGGCTGCAGCTAAATAGCTGGCTATCTTATGGCTAAAGTTTGGCAGCACCTAAGTAGCTGGCTATCTTATGGCTAAAGTTTGGCTGCAGCTAAATAGCTGGATATCTTATGGCTATATTATGGCTGTCCTCGTGGGGCTACCTGTAATTTGGTTTAACATGTGGTTATCGTGTGGTTGCATGTGGTATGTTTAACATGTGGTTATCGTGTGGTTGCATGTGGTATGTTTAACGTGTGGTTATCGTGTGGTTGCAGTCGAGGACAAGGTGTCACCACCAGACTACACCGACTCCATTGTGGGGGCTGCGGCTGGCTCGTCCTTCGTTTTCCTGGTGGCTGTAGCTGTGCAGGTGTCTCTCAGGTAACGTAGCCGTGCAGCTGTCTCTCAGGTAACGTAGCCGTGCAGCTGTCTCTCAGGTAACGTAGCCGTGCAGGTGTCTCTCAGGTAACGTAGCCGTGCAGGTGTCTCTCAGGTAACGTAGCCGTGCAGGTGTCTCTCAGGTAACGTAGCCGTGCAGCTGTCTCTCAGGTAACGTAGCTGTGCAGGTGTCTCTCAGGTAACGTAGCTGTGCAGGTGTCTCTCAGGTAACGTAGCTGTGCAGGTGTCTCTCAGGTAACGTAGCTGTGCAGGTGTCTCTAACTCAGGTAACACACAGCTAACTCTCTGGTTATGTGATCACCATTTACACAAGTCTCCCCTACACAGTTTTACCATCAGAAATTTCTAGCTATTTTTAGTTCATTCCTGACAACTCTTCTACATGATGACGTCATAGGTACTACCGACGTCATCGTCGCCTGGAGTCGATGCTGTGGCAGATCAAGTTTGAGGAGATGGACTTTGTCACGGCACTACTCAGTGGGAGTGTCAGGGTCAGTCAGTGTGTGGGTCTGTGGGTGTGTGGGTGTGTCATGGTCAGTCAGTGTGGGGGTGTCAGGGTCAGTCAGTGTGGGGGTGTCAGGGTCAGTCAATGTGGGGGTGTCAGGGTCAGTCAGTGTGGGGGTGTCAGGGTCAGTCAATGTGGGGGTGTCAGGGTCAGTCAATGTGTGGGTGTCAGGGTCAGTCAGTGTGTGGGTGTTAGGGTTAGTTGATGTGGGTGTGTGTGGGTGTTAGGGTCAGTCAATGTGTGGGTGTTAGGGTTAGTTGATGTGGGTGTGTGTGGGTGTTAGGGTCAGTCAATGTGTGGGTGTTAGGGTCAGTCAATGTGGGGGTGTCAGGGTCAGTCAATGTGTGGGTGTCAGGGTCAGTCAATGTGGGGGTGTCAGGGTCAGTCAATGTGTGGGTGTCAGGGTCAGTCAATGTGGGGGTGTCAGGGTCAGTCAATGTGTGGGTGTTAGGGTTAGTTGATGTGTGGGTGTTAGGGTTAGTTGATGTGGGGGTGTCAGGGTCAGTCAATGTGGGGGTGTCAGGGTCAGTCAGTGTGGGGGTGTCAGGGTCAGTCAATGTGGGGGTGTCAGGGTCAGTCAGTGTGTGGGTGTTAGGGTTAGTTGATGTGTGGGTGTTAGGGTTAGTTGATGTGGGTGTGTTAGGGTCAGTCAATGTGGGGGTGTTAGGGTCAGTCAATGTGGGGGTGTTAGGGTTAGTTGATGTGGGTGTGTGTGGGTGTTAGGGTCAGTCAATGTGTGGGTGTGTATGTGTGTCAGGTTCGCATGTGTGTGTGTGTAATTTCCCGAATGTGTGCGTGAATGCTAGACGGATGACGTCAGTGATGACGTAGCTGGTCTCCGTCTGTCAGGCAAGCTTCAGAAACCTGGCCAAACGTCGCTACTCGAGCAAGTCCAAGCTGGCCAAGTCTCGCCCGACCCTCGAGCCGCAGGACGCCCCGGGGACTCTTCAGCACCTCTTCGAGGGCGGCTCCGTCATGTTTGGCTCCGTGGCATATCTCAGAGGTCAGTCCTCAACTCACGACTGACGTTAGACCACTGTCCAGATGTTGACCACTGTCCAAATGTTGACCTTTGTCCAAATGTTGACCACTGTCCTAATGTTGACCACTGTGCTAATGTTGACCACTGTCCAAATGTTGACCACTGTCCAAATGTTGACCACTGTGCTAATGTTGACCACTGTCCAAATGTTGACCACTGTCCAAATGTTGACCACTGTCCAAATGTTGACCACTGTCCTAATGTTGACCACTGGCCTAATGTTGACCACTGGCCTAATGTTGACCACTGGCCTAATGTTGACCACTGTCCAAATGTTGGCCACTGTCCTAATGTTGACCACTGTCCAAATGTTGACCACTGTCCAAATATTGACCACTGGCCTAATGTTGACCACTGTCCTAAAGTTGACCACTGTCCTAAAGTTGACCACATGTTACAGGCAGTCTGGTCTCTGTCAAGCGAGTCAGCAGGGGCAGCATCAGTTTAACAAAAGAACTTTTACAACAGCTGAACAAGGTAACTCTAGGGTAACAGGGTAACTCTAGCTTCGGTAACATGGTAACTCTAGCTGGGGTAACATGGTAACTCTAGCTGGGGTAACATGGTAACTCTAGCTGGGGTAACATGGTAACTCTAGCTGGGGTGACTCTAGCTGGGGTAACATGGTAACTCTAGCTAGGGTAACATGGTAACTCTAGCTGGGGTAACATGGTAACTCTAGCTGGGGTAACATGGTAACTCTAGCTGGGGTAACATGGTAACTCTAGCTGGGGTGACTCTAGCTGGGGTAACATGGTAACTCTAGCTAGGGTAACATGGTAACTTTAGCTGGGGTAACATGGTAACTCTAGCTGGGGTAACATGGTAACTCTAGCTGGGGTAACATGGTAACTCTAGCTGGGGTAACATGGTAACTCTAGCTGGGGTAACATGGTAACTCTAGCTGGGGTAACATGGTAACTCTAGCTGGGGTGACTCTAGCTGGGGTAACATGGTAACTCTAGCTGGGGTAACTCTAGCTAGGGTAACATGGTAACTCTAGCTGGGGTAACAAATAATTATAGAAGTGTTTGGGTTAGACAACAAATGTAGCAGTTTTGAATATAATTTGAAATGTCCAAGCTAGTGTTTGAACTTGACATTGGCAGCTGATGGAACTGAAACACCAGAATATCACGGCATTTGTTGGCGCCTGCGTTGACCCGGGTCGGATCTTGTTGCTGTGGGAATATTGTCCCAAGGGGAGTCTGCAGGTGGGTGTGTGACATGTGTCGTGTGTGTCGTAGTGTGGGGCATGTGTCGTGTGTGTCCTAGTGTGTGGCATGTGTCGTGTGTGTCGTAGTGTGTGACATGTGTCGTGTGTGTCGTAGTGTGGGGCATGTGTCGTGTGTGTCCTAGTGTGGGGAATGTGTCGTGTGTGTCCTAGTGTGTGGCATGTGTCGTGTGTGTCGTAGTGTAGGGCATGTGTCGTGTGTGGGGCATGTGTCGTGTGTGTCGTAGTGTGGGGCATGTGTCGTGTGTGTCGTAGTGTAGGGCATGTGTCGTGTGTGGGGCATGTGTCGTGTGTGTCGTAGTGTGGGGCATGTGTCGCGTGTGTCCTAGTGTGGGGCATGTCCTGATGTTGAGAGTGTGTCTCTAGCATGACGTGTATTCCCACAGGACATCATCAACAACCAGAACATCAAACTGGACCAGCTCTTCCAGTTCACCATCTGCCAGGATGTGGCCAAAGTTCGTTGACCTCTGAAACTGCTCGTGTCTCCACACATCTCTTCATTTGTATTAGCGATGTTGGTGTCCAATGTCCATGTTCCTGTCCATGTTCCTGTTCATGTTCCTGTTCATGTTCCTGTTCATGTTCCCATACAAGTTCATCTGTATGTTAATGTCTATGATCTTGTCCATGTTTCCATCTATGTTCCCGTACATGTTCCCGTACATGTTGAGCTACTGTCTCGACCAGGGTCTGGAGTACATCCACAAGAGCAGTGTGAGTTACCATGGCAACCTGAAGAGTTCCAACTGTGTTGTGGACAGCCGCTGGACCTGCAAGCTGACGGACTTTGGTGTGCCCAAACTACGGGCGGTCGTCAAGGCGCTCATCCCAGTCGAGGAAAACGTTGAACGTATGTACAGGGGGGGGGGGGGGGGGACACGGGGGGGGGGGGGGTGGGGGGGGGGACACGGGGGGGGGACACGGGGACGACGGTCAAGGCGCTCATCCCAGTCGAGGAAAACATTGAACGTATGTACAGGGGGGGGGATACAGGGGGGGGGGGAAGTCTCAGGGAAAAAATAAATAAATCAGTTTTTACTAGGAAAAAGACACAGAAAAAGTCACAAAGGAAAGATTTTATCGAATAAAAAGTCGCTAATGTGTATAAAGAAATATTTTGATTTACTTGTTGAGAATTTTTTGGGTGTGTATACATATGATGGTGTCTTTAGTATAACATGGTTTAAATGTCTTGACTAAAATGTCTTGACTAAAATGACATGGTTAAAATGACATGGCTAAAATGACATGGTTAAAATGACATGGCTAAAGTGACCTGGTTAAAATGACATGGTTTAAATGACATGACATTCTATCCTCAGGAGAGTTCTGGACGGCGCCGGAAATTCTGCGTGGCGAGCGTGGCGTGGAGATGCAGAAGTGCGACATCTACTCGCTGGGCGTGGTGTACAAGGAAGTCTTCAGCAAAACGTCCGCCTACTCGGAGTTTGGCTTTATGAGCCCCCATGGTAAGAATAGGGCCCTCATAAAGAAGCCATCTAGATAGTCTTGGTAGTAGCTGTGGTGTGGCCATCTAGTCTTGTGGCTGTGGTGTGGCCATCTAGTCTTGTGGCTGTGGTGTGGCCATCTAGTCTTGTGGCTGTGGTGTGGCCATCTAGTCTTGTGGCTGTGGTGTGGCCATCTAGTCTTGTGGTTGTAGTGTGGCCATCTAGTCTTGTGGCTGTGGTGTGGCCATCTAGTCTTGTGGCTGTAGTGTGGTCATCTAGTCTTGTGGCTGTGGTGTGGCCATCTAGGTAGTCTTGTGGCTGTGGTGTGGCCATCTAGTCTTGTGGCTGTGGTGTGGCCATCTAGTCTTGTGGCTGTGGTGTGGCCATCTAGATAGTCTTGGTAGTAGCTGTGGTGTGGCCATGTAGTCTTGTGGCTGTGGTGTGGCCATCTAGTCTTGTGGCTGTGGTGTGGCCATCTAGTCTTGTGGCTATGGTGTGGCCATCTAGTCTTGTGGCTGTGGTGTGGTCATCTAGGTAGTCTTGTGGCTGTGGTGTGGCCATCTAGTCTTGTGGCTGTGGTGTGGTCATCTAGGTAGTCTTGTGGCTGTGGTGTGGCCATCTAGGTAGTCTTGTGGCTGTGGTGTGGCCATCTAGTCTTGTGGCTATGGTGTGGCCATCTAGGTAGTCTTGTGGCTGTGGTGTGGCCATCTAGGTAGTCTTGTGGCTGTGGTGTGGCCATCTAGATAGTCTTGTGGCTATGGTGTGGCCATCTAGGTAGTCTTGTGGCTATGGTGTGGCCATCTAGGTAGTCTTGTGACTGTGGTGTGGCCATCTAGTCTTGTGGCTGTGGTGTGGTCATCTAGTCTTGTGGCTATGGTGTGGCCATCTAGGTAGTCTTGTGGCTGTGGTGTGGCCATCTAGGTAGTCTTGTGGCTGTGGTGTGGCCATCTAGGTAGTCTTGTGGCTGTGGTGTGGCCATCTAGGTAGTCTTGTGGCTGTGGTGTGGCCATCTAGGTAGTCTTGTGGCTGTGGTGTGGCCATCTAGGTAGTCTTGTGGCTGTGGTGTGGCCATCTAGTCTTGTGGCTGTGGTGTGGTCATCTAGTCTTGTGGCTGTGGTGTGGCCATCTAGTCTTGTGGCTATGGTGTGGCTATCTAGTCTTGTGGCTGTGGTGTGGCCATCTAGGTAGTCTTGTGGCTATGGTGTGGCCATCTAGGTAGTCTTGTGACTGTGGTGTGGCCATCTAGTCTTGTGGCTGTGGTGTGGTCATCTAGTCTTGTGGCTATGGTGTGGCCATCTAGGTAGTCTTGTGGCTGTGGTGTGGCCATCTAGGTAGTCTTGTGGCTGTGGTGTGGCCATCTAGGTAGTCTTGTGGCTGTGGTGTGGCCATCTAGATAGTCTTGTGGCTGTGGTGTGGCCATCTAGTCTTGTGACTGTGGTGTGGCCATCTAGGTAGTCTTGTGGCTGTGGTGTGGCCATCTAGATAGTCTTGTGGCTATGGTGTGGCCATCTAGGTAGTCTTGTGGCTATGGTGTGGCCATCTAGGTAGTCTTGTGACTGTGGTGTGGCCATCTAGTCTTGTGGCTGTGGTGTGGTCATCTAGTCTTTCGGCTATGGTGTGGCCATCTAGGTAGTCTTGTGGCTGTGGTGTGGCCATCTAGGTAGTCTTGTGGCTGTGGTGTGGCCATCTAGGTAGTCTTGTGGCTATGGTGTGGCCATCTAGGTAGTCTTGTGGCTGTGGTGTGGCCATCTAGGTAGTCTTGTGGCTGTGGTGTGGCCATCTAGATAGTCTTGTGGCTGTGGTGTGGCCATCTAGGTAGTCTTGTGGCTGTGGTGTGGCCATCTAGGTAGTCTTGTGGCTGTGGTGTGGTCATCTAGGTAGTCTTGTGGCTGTGGTGTGGCCATCTAGGTAGTCTTGTGGCTGTGGTGTGGCCATCTAGGTAGTCTTGTGGCTGTGGTGTGGCCATCTAGTCTTGTGGCTGTGGTGTGGCCATCTAGTCTTGTGGCTGTGGTGTGGCCGTCTAGTCTTGTGGCTATGGTGTGGCTATCTAGTCTTGTGGCTGTGGTGTGGCCATCTAGGTAGTCTTGTGGCTGTGGTGTGGCCATCTAGTCTTGTGGCTGTGGTGTGGCCATCTAGTCTTGTGGCTGTGGTGTGGCCATCTAGGTAGTCTTGTGGCTGTGGTGTGGCCATCTAGGTAGTCTTGTGGCTGTGGTGTGGCCATCTAGTCTTGTGGCTGTGGTGTGGCCATCTAGTCTTGTGGCTGTGGTGTGGCCATCTAGGTAGTCTTGTGGCTGTGGTGTGGCCATCTAGGTAGTCTTGTGGCTGTGGTGTGGCCATCTAGTCTTGTGGCTGTGGTGTGGCCATCTAGTCTTGTGGCTGTGGTGTGGCCATCTAGGTAGTCTTGTGGCTGTGGTGTGGCCATCTAGTCTTGTGGCTGTGGTGTGGCCATCTAGGTAGTCTTGTGGCTATGGTGTGGCCATCTAGATAGTCTTGTGGCTGTGGTGTGGCCATCTAGATAGTCTTGTGGCTATGGTGTGGCCATCTAGTCTTGTGGCTATGGTGTGGCCATCTAGGTAGTCTTGTGGCTATGGTGTGGCCATCTAGTCTTGTGGCTGTGGTGTGGCCATCTAGTCTTGTGGCTGTGGTGTGGCCATCTAGGTAGTCTTGTGGCTATGCTGTGGCCATCTAGTCTTGTGGCTGTGGTGTGGCCATGTAGTCTTGTGGCTGTGGTGTGGCTATCTAGATAGTCTTGTGGCTGTGGTGTGGCCATCTAGTCTTGTGGCTGTGGTGTGGCCATCTAGTCTTGTGGCTGTGGTGTGGCCATCTAGTCTTGTGGCTGTGGTGTGGCCATCTAGGTAGTCTTGTGGCTGTGGTGTGGCCATCTAGGTAGTCTTGTGGCTGTGGTGTGGCCATCTAGTCTTGTGGCTGTGGTGTGGCCATCTAATCTTGTGGCTATGGTGTGGCCATCTAGGTAGTCTTGTGGCTGTGGTGTGGCCATCTAGTCTTGTGGCTGTGGTGTGGCCATCTAGTCTTGTGGCTGTGGTGTGGCCATCTAGGTAGTCTTGTGGCTGTGGTGTGGCCATCTAGTCTTGTGGCTGTGGTGTGGCCATCTAGGTAGTCTTGTGGCTGTGGTGTGGCCATCTAGGTAGTCTTGTGGCTGTGGTGTGGCCATCTAGGTAGTCTTGTGGCTGTGGTGTGGCCATCTAGGTAGTCTTGTGGTTGTGGTGTGGCCATCTAGTCTTGTGACTGTGGTGTGGCCATCTAGGTAGTCTTGTGGCTATGGTGTGGCCATCTAGGTAGTCTTGTGGCTGTGGTGTGGCCATCTAGATAGTCTTGTGGCTGTGGTGTGGCCATCTAGATAGTCTTGTGGCTGTGGTGTGGCCATCTAGGTAGTCTTATGGCTGTGGTGTGGCCAACTAGTCCTGTGGCTGTGGTGTGGCCATCTAGTCTTGTGGCTGTGGTGTGGCCATCTAGATAGTCTTGTGGCTGTGGTGTGGCCATCTAGGTAGTCTTGTGGCTGTGGTGTGGCCATCTAGGTTGTCTTGTGGCTGTTGTGTGGCCATCTAGGTAGTCTTGTGGCTGTGGTGTGGCCATCTAGTCTTGTGGCTATGGTGTGGCCATCTAGATAGTCTTGTGGCTGTGGTGTGGCCATCTAGGTAGTCTTGTGGCTGTGGTGTGGCCTACTAGGTAGTCGTGTGGCTGTGGTGTGGCCATCTAGTCTTGTGGCTGTGGTGTGGCCATCTAGGTAGTCTTGTGGCTGTGGTGTGGCCATCTAGGTAGTCTTGTGGCTGTGGTGTGGCCATCTAGTCTTGTGGCTGTGGTGTGGCCATCTAGTCTTGTGGCTGTGGTGTGGCCATCTAGGTAGTCTTGTGGCTGTGGTGTGGCCATCTAGTCTTGTGGCTGTGGTGTGGCCATCTAGTCTTGTGGCTGTGGTGTGGCCATCTAGGTAGTCTTGTGGCTGTGGTGTGGCCATCTAGGTAGTCTTGTGGCTGTGGTGTGGCCATCTAGGTAGTCTTGTGGCTATGGTGTGGCCATCTAGTCTTGTGGCTGTGGTGTGGCCATCTAGTCTTGTGGCTATGGTGTGGCCATCTAGGTAGTCTTGTGGCTGTGGTGTGGCCATCTAGGTAGTCTTGTGGCTGTGGTGTGGCCATCTAGGTAGTCTTGTGGCTATGGTGTGGCCATCTAGGTAGTCTTGTGGCTGTGGTGTGGCCATCTAGGTAGTCTTGTGGCTGTGGTGTGGCCATCTAGTCTTGTGGCTGTGGTGTGGCCATCTAGTCTTGTGGCTGTGGTGTGGCCATCTAGGTAGTCTTGTGGCTGTGGTGTGGTCATCTAGGTAGTCTTGTGGCTGTGGTGTGGCCATCTAGATAGTCTTGTGGCTGCGGTGTGGCCATCTAGTCTTGTGGCTGTGGTGTGGCCATCTAGTCTTGTGGCTATGGTGTGGCCATCTAGTCTTGTGGCTGTGGTGTGGCCATCTAGGTAGTCTTGTGGCTGTGGTGTGGCCATCTAGTCTTGTGGCTGTGGTGTGGCCATCTAGATAGTCTTGTGGCTGTGGTGTGGCCATCTAGTCTTGTGGCTGTGGTGTGGCCATCTAGTCTTGTGGCTATGGTGTGGCCATCTAGGTAGTCTTGTGGCTGTGGTGTGGTCATCTAGTCTTGTGGCTGTGGTGTGGCCATCTAGGTAGTCTTGTGGCTGTGGTGTGGCCATCTAGTCTTGTGGCTGTGGTGTGGCCATCTAGATAGTCTTGTGGCTGTGGTGTGGCCATCTAGTCTTGTGGCTGTGGTGTGGCCATCTAGTCTTGTGGCTATGGTGTGGCCATCTAGGTAGTCTTGTGGCTGTGGTGTGGCCATCTAGGTAGTCTTGTGGCTGTGGTGTGGCCATCTAGTCTTGTGGCTGTGGTGTGGCCATCTAGTCTTGTGGCTGTGGTGTGGCCATCTAGGTAGTCTTGTGGCTGTGGTGTGGCCATCTAGGTAGTCTTGTGGCTGAGGTGTGGCCATCTAGGTAGTCTTGTGGCTGTGGTGTGGCCATCTAGATAGTCTTGTGGCTGTGGTGTGGCCATCTAGGTAGTCTTGTGGCTGTGGTGTGGCCATCTAGTCTTGTGGCTGTGGTGTGGCCATCTAGGTAGTCTTGTGGCTGTGGTGTGGCCATCTAAATAGTCTTATGGCTGTGGTGTGGCCATCTAGTCTTGTGGCTGTGGTGTGGCCATCTAGGTAGTCTTGTGGCTGTGGTGTGGCCATCTAGGTAGTCTTGTGGCTGTGGTGTGGCCATCTAGGTAGTCTTGTGGCTGTGGTGTGGCCATCTAGTCTTGTGGCTGTGGTGTGGCCATCTAGGTAGTCTTGTGGCTGTGGTGTGGCCATCTAGGTAGTCTTGTGGCTGTGGTGTGGCCATCTAGGTAGTCTTGTGGCTGAGTTGTGGCTATCTAGTCTTGTGGCTGTGGTGTGGCCATCTAGTCTTGTGGCTGTGGTGTGGCCATCTAGGTAGTCTTGTGGCTGTGGTGTGGCCATCTAGGTAGTCTTGTGGCTGTGGTGTGGCCATCTAGTCTTGTGGCTGTGGTGTGGCCATCTAGACTAGTGGCTGTGGTGGCCACCTAAGTAGACATGGACCTTCACGGTAGGATTGGGCCCCTAAATGTGTGTCCGGGTTCCCATTTAGTGTCTGAGATTCTTTGGTAAGGCAGGGGTCTTAGGAGCCCTCATGCCTTTGGTGACCACAGCAAGATTGGGGCCCACTTTGGTTTATAAACCAGGGCTACATAAGGCCCACCTCAAGTGGTTGACATGACTTCATCAACTGGTTGACATGATGTCACCAACTGGTTGACATGACGTCATCAACTGGTTGACATGACGTCATCAACTGGTTGACATGACGTCATCAACTGGTTGACATGACCAGGCTCCTGTTGGTTCACGCAGACATCATTGACAGAGTCAGAAGCCCACGTGACGTCCTGTTTCGACCAATGCTGGCGGGGGAAACCAAGCAGAACCCCGAGCTGTGTCAGCTGATCAGCGACTGTTGGGGCGAGGAGCCCGGCGATCGACCGTCCGTCGCCCGCGTTCTCAAAACTCTCAACCGGCTCAACCCGTCCAAGTAGGTTCTTGTTAATCCTCATCAGACACTAAACCGTTAATCCTTATCAGACACTAAACCGTTAATCCTCATCAGACACTAAACCGTTAATCCTCATCAGACACTAAACCGTTAATCCTCATCAGACACTAAACCGTTAATCCTCATCAGACACTAAACCGTTAATCCTCATCAGATACTAAACCGTTAATCCTCATCAGACACTAACCCGTTAATCCTCACCAGACACACTAAACCTTTAATCCTCATCAGACACTAAACCTTTAATCCTCATCAGACACTAAACCTTGAATCCTCGTCAGACACACTAAACCTTTAATCCTCATCAAACACTAAACCTTTAATCCTCATCAGACACTAAACCGTTAATCCTCGTCAGACACTAAACCGTTAATCCCCAACAAGACACACTAAACCCGTAAATCCTCCCCAGACATACTAAACCCTTTAATCCTCCCCAGACACACTAAACCCGTTAATCCCCACAAGACAAACTAAACCTTTAATCCCCCACAGACACACTAAACCCGTTAATCCTCCCCAGACACACTAAACCTTTAATTCTCATCAGACACACTAAACCTTTAATCCTCCCCAGACACACTAAACCCGTTAATCCTCCCCAGACACACTAAACCCGTTAATCCTCCCCAGACACACTAAACCTTTAATCCCCCACCAGACACACTAAACCCGTTAATCCTCCCCAGACACACTAAACCCGTTAATCCTCCCCAGACACACTAAACCCGTTAATCCTCCCCAGACACACTAAACCCGTTAATCCTCCCTAGACACACTAAACCCGTTAATCCTCCCCAGACACACTAAACCCGTTAATCCTCCCCAGACACACTAAACCCGTTAATCCTCCCCAGACACACTAAACCCGTTAATCCTCCCCAGACACACTAAACCCGTTAATCCTCCCCAGACACACTAAACCCGTTAATCCTCCCCAGACACACTAAACCCGTTAATCCTCTCCAGACACACTAAACCCGTTAATCCTCCCCAGACACACTAAACCCGTTAATCCTCCCCAGACACACTAAACCCGTTAATCCTCCCCAGACACACTAAACCCGTTAATCCTCTCCAGACACACTAAACCCGTTAATCCTCCCCAGACACACTAAACCCGTTAATCCTCCCCAGACACACGACTATGATAGACAACATGCTGGCCATGCTGGAGAAGTACGCGAACCACCTAGAAGAGCTGGTAGCTGAGAGAACCAGCGAGCTGGACGCCGAGAAGAGAAAAACGGAGAACCTGCTGTACCGCATGTTGCCTCAGTACGATCTGTTAGACGCTCCGTACTTGTGGGGATGATGTTGGTGTGGATGATGTTTGTGTGGATGTTTGTGTGGATGTTTGTCTGGATGTGTGTGTGGATGTGTGTGTTGATGATTTTTGTGTGGATGTTTATGTGGATGATGTTTGTGTGGATGATATTTAACCTGACCCCCCTGCGATGTTTAACCTGACCCCCTGTGATGTTTAACCTGACTCTCCCCCCCCCCTGCAGGACAGTGGCCGAGGACCTGAAGATGGGCAAGCCGGTCAAGGCCGAGCTGTTTGACCAGGTGACCATCTACTTCTCAGACATCGTCGGCTTCACCGGCATCTGCTCGCAGAGCACGCCCATCGAGGTGGTCAACCTGCTCAACAGCCTCTACACGCTCTTTGATGACATCATCACGCGCTATGACGTATACAAGGTACACGTGCTGATTTGTTTCAAGCTTTCACCAATCTTGTATTTTAAGGCGTGTGGTCTTGTTTTTGTTTTTTGTTTTTGTTTTTGTTTTTGTTTTTTGTTTTTTGTTTTTGTTTTTTGTTTTTTTCTTGTTTTTTGTTTTTGTTTTTGTTTTTTGTTTTTTGTTTTTGTTTTTGTTTTTGGTTTTTTGTTTTGGTTTTTTGTTTTTTGTTTTTTGTTTTTGTTTTTGTTTTTTGTTTTTTGCTTTTTTTTTGTTTTTTGTTTTTGTTTTTGTTTTTGGTTTTTTTTTTTTTTTTTTTTTTTTTTTTTTTTTTTTTTGTTTTGTTTTTTGTTTTTGTTTTTTGTTTTTGTTTTTGATTTTTGTTTTTTGTTTTTGCTTTTGTTTTTGTTTTTGTTTTTTGTTTTTGTTTTTTGTATTTGTTTTTATAAATCCGAGCTATTAAAATGGAAACAAAATCAACAATAGGGGTGCGAATTCGTCCACGTTACCACCCAGACGCCCCAGGGCGTGCTGTATGAAAGCCCAGACGCCCCAGGGCGTGCTGTATGAAGGCCCAGACGCACTACGATGGGGCGCCAATCCGTGCACAACGGCCGGGCTCCGGATGACGGCCCTGATTCAAGAGGACGACGCCACTAATGGCGTATTTTTAGACGCGTGTTTACCCTAGTTTATCTTCTGATTGGTTCGTGTAGACAGGAGCATATTTAATTCTTGGAAAAAACTGACGGAAATCAACTGTGACCAATGGTTATTTTTAGCTTGTTCGCTAGCCCCTCCCACATTTTGTTAGGCCATACATTTTTATGGACAAAGGGAAACAACCAAGAAAATATTTTTCGCAAAATAATCTTTGTTATCTTTGGAGACGAATGGTGTGTGTATGTCTGTGTATTGCTGTGTGTATTGCTGTGTGTATGTGTATGTGTGTGTATGTGTGTGTATGTGTGTGCAAGTGTGTGTGTGTATTGCTGTGTGTATGTGTGTGTATTGCTGTGTGTATGTGAGTGTATTGCTGTGTGTATGTGTGTGTATGTCTTGCTGTGTGTATGTGTGTGTATTGCTGTGTGCATGTGTGTGTATGTGTGTGTATTGCTGTGTGTATGTGTGTGTATTGCTGTGTGTATGTGTGGGTATTGCTGTGTGTACGTGTGTGTACTGATCTGTGTATGTGTTCGTGTCAGGTGGAGACTATCGGTGACGCCTACATGTTGGCCAGTGGGCTGCCAGAGAGGAACGGCGCACGTCACATCCGGGAGATCGCCAACACCGCACTCGATATTCTGGCATCGATAGAAACCTTCCGCATTCCGCATCTACCGGAACGGAAGTTAAAGATCAGGTAGGTCAAGGTGTGGAGTGTGTAAAGGCCAAGGTTGTTTGTTGACCAGTTTTTGATCACGTGACCTGACCAATTGTTTTCTAACTGCTCAGGATCGGCCTTCACACCGGGCCTGTGGTGGCGGGGGTGGTGGGGCTGGCCATGCCCCGCTACTGTCTCTTTGGTGACGCGGTCAACACGGCCTCCAGGATGGAATCCACTGGCGTCCGTAAGTAGATGACGTCATAGACGTCTGCTGAGTCAGCACTCAAAAGGCAACATAGTACATCTGGTTCTATATTGTATGGTTAGACCTGCTACCATCTCTCCATCTTTAAGATCAACTACCATCTCCCCATATTTAAGACCAACTACCATCTCCCCAAATACCATCTCCCCAAATACCATCTCCCCAACTACCATCTCCCCATCTTTAAGATCAACTACCATCTCCCCAACTACAATCAACTACCATCTCCCCATATTTAAGACCAACTACCATCTCCCCAACTACCATCACCCCAACTACCATCTCCCCAAATACCATCTCCCCAAATACCATCTCCCCAAATACCATCTCCCCAAATACCATCTCCCCAAATACCATCTCCCCAACTACCATCTCCCCAAATACCATCTCCCCAGCTACCATCTCCCCAGCTACCATCTCCCCATATTTAACACCAACTACCATCTCCCCATATTTAAGACCAACTACCATCTCCCCATATTTAAGACCAACTACCATCTCCCCATATTTAAGACCAACTACCATCTCCCCATATTTAAGATCAACTACCATCTCCCCATATTTTAGATCAACTACCATCTTCCCAACTACCATCTCCCCAACTACCATCTCCCCAACTACCATCAACTACCATCTCCCCAACTACCATCTCCCCAACTACCATCAACTACCATCTCCCCAACTACCATCTCCCCAACTACCATCAACTACCATCTCCCCAACTACCATCTCCCCAACTACCATCAACTACCATCTCCCCAACTACCATCTCCCCAACTACCATCTCCCCAACTACCATCAACTACCATCTCCCCAACTACCATCTCCCCAACTACCATCTCCCCAACTACCATCAACTACCATCTCCCCAACTACCATCTCCCCAACTACCATCTCCCCAACTACCATCTCCCCAACTACCATATCCCCAACTACCATCTCCCCAACTACCATCTCCCCAACTACCATCTCCCCAACTACCATCTCCCCAACTACCATCAACTACCATCTCCCCAACTACCATCAATTACCATCTCCCCATATTTAAGATCAACTACCATCTCCCCATATTTAAGACCAACTACCATCTCCCCATATTTAAGACCAACTACCATCTCCCCAACTACCATCAACTACCATCTCCCCAGCTCTACGCATCCACCTAAGTTCTTCAGCTCGGGACAGCCTCCTGGTGTTTGCTGGATACCATCTTGAGTACCGTGGAGAAATCGAGGTCAAGGGTAAAGGTAAAATGCAAACGTATTTCCTGACGGGTCGTGATGACCTTCAGCGTCCCCTACCCACCAGCCCAGAGAACTTGCGCAAGTCCTCGTCAGCCTTGGTGGACAAAATTCCAGAGGACAGTCTGCTGGTCAGCTCAGAGTTGCTGGCGCCTAAACACACAGAGGTCACGTGTGGGGGTCAGGACCCGGTGACCCATTTCTACCTGCAGGAAGACGTGACCCCTGACCTGTCGACTGCAGACCTGACTGACGGGACGTGTTGCAGTCTCAACTGTGGGGTCAAGACTAAGAGGTCAGAGGTCAGCGGTCAGGGGTCGTCAGCCGGTAGAAGGTCGTGCATGAAGTCCCGCCCCGCGAGGCGCCTGTCCGTCGAGTTCCAGCTGGATGACCCCAACCCCCTGGCCCATCTATTCCGCCCTGACGACCCCAACAACGCCGCCTGTGTCGCCGTCTGCACGCCGCGCGCGCTCGAGATCACAGCCAACATCTTCCAGCCCAACCGGAGCAGCCACAAACCCCTGGAGGACAAGCTCAGCCTGGGCAGGAAGGCCACGCCTCGACAGGCCAGGTCCAGTAGGGACGGACCGAGGCAGCCCAAGAGAGAAAACACCGAACACAGAAACTCGCCAAGCCATGATTCGCCAAAGTCAGGCCATGATTCGCCAAAGTCAGAGCTAAATTCGCCAAAGTCAGAGCTAAATTCGCCAAAGCCAGGAGAGGAATCGCCAAAGTCAGTTCATGATTCGAGGGACTTGAAAACTCTAGAAACAATTTTATAACCAAACTATTCAATCATTTCTCAAAGTCGAACCAAATACCTCCTCAATTTGAACATATATTCACAATATTATTTACAAGCTTTTATTTAGTTCTCAATGTATGTTTGTGGGTTTGTGGATAATCTTGTAACTCAGTTTGACCCACTTCTAATGGAGCGATTTCATTCAAAGTTCCTGATGCCTTGCACTTCGGTGACAAGTCTATATGTTGCTTAATTTAATTAGATGTTAATTAATCATTAAAAATTAATTAAACGGTTTCGAAACTAAGGGGAGATAACAAAATTAAATCACTCGATAGATTACTATATTTAATAAAATACTTAAAAAAAACTTTTAAAAAAACCACGTTTTTCTTGTGGACTAAAAAGTAGAAAATAAATTTTTCTTTTGTGCTTCCTCGAGCTGTGCATGTTCTTGTGATGACTGACAAAAAACGTGGGTACGTTCACCATCAAATTTCCCGACCCATCTGCCCGACCCACGTTTTTTGTCAGTCATCACAAGAACCTGCACAGCTCGAGGAAGCACAAAAGAAAAATTTATTTTCTACTTTTTAGTCCACAAGAAAAACGTGGTTTTTAAAAAAGTTTTTTATATAGTTTATTTTCTACTTTATCTAATGACTTGATTAAGTATGACTTGACTAAGTGTTTATAAATACACGGACTAAAAATCTTGAGCGACAGATACGCTTTAAACAGAGAAAGGGCGTAATTTAATTAAGCCTACATGCCGTGACCAGGATTCGAACCTGGGTTGTCGCGGCCACAACGCGAAGTACTAACCACTATACGATCACGGCCAGCGCGCTCACATCGATTGGGGCCGAAGTAACTGTGTCAATAGGCCTCCAGTCTTGTCGGTATGTTTAGAAATCATGTCCTCGATTTTATGGTCCTTGGGGCGTAATTTAATTAAGCTAATTTAGGTCTCTAATTGCTAGTTTTTATGATTGCATCTGAAATTGTTAGGCGAAAATAGCCTGCATTCCAAATTTCAGATCTCTAGAGCAATCAGAAGTGGGCTAATTTTCGATGTCAATTTTAACAACAAACATCCAAACAAACAAACAAATAAACGCGAAGCCGAGTTAAGCAAAACGTGTTAAAAACAGAAGGGGAGATAACTAGCTAGACGCGATCACCCTAACAGTCTGGTGAGCTGTGGTTCACAAGAATGTTTACAATCGTCTGTCGATCTAGAAAATGCAACTATTAACAAAAATAAAATAAAAATTAAGTGATCTGAAACTATGAGAGAGAGAGAGAGAGAGAGAGAGAGAGAGAGAGAGAGAGAGAGAGAGGGGGGGGGGGGGATAACAAGACTGAGAACTATCCTTCGCTAGATCAACTTGCTGTGGTATGTAAATTGTGGTCACCAACGGCTGCATTCACGGGGCAGACACTTGCCTTTCAGATATCGCGAGCTACAGATGGTGTTTTAAGGCAAATATTTTTAGTCATGTCAACTTCAAAATTAGTAATCACTAAAAATATTTAAAAAATAAAACATATAAAAAACTTTATAGCAACAAGCTTTTCAATGCACTAAAAATAATAAATTAAAACTAATGTAGTTTGGTCACTCATGCGATCTTTCACATATTTTAGCGACAAAAGCTTTTATTAAAGAAAATAAATTAGTTTTTTTTCTTATTTTCAGTGTATTTAAAAACTTATTGCCATAAAGTTTTTTTTTTTAAATTAAAAAAAAATTATTTCCAACTTTCATTTATACTTGTGTTGTCTCAAATCAACTTATGGCAAATACTTTTTTGATGGAATGTAAAATTAAAAACTAATTTGATGACTTGTGTCTTTCATCCATCGTGTGTTATAGTTGTCAGTTGTTATATAATTTGTTGTATCATTTGTTGTATCATTTGTTATATCATTTGTTGTATTGCAGCTGTAAGTGGGTCATGTGACCTTTTGGTCATTAGATGAGGGGCTAGTAGACTTCCGGGATAGCCGTATGTCACATTGACATCAGTGAATGTCAGCTGAAATAAAACCAGCCAAATATTTCTACAGATCCATTTCTATTCAAATGTCAAGGTCACCTCTTACATTGAACACGTGGTCTCTCGTCTTAGCTCCACCCCCTCCCCCCTTTCTACGTCGACTGCCAGCACTCGCAGAGTTGAACGAATTCTCGCGGCGGCCACGTCACGCAGGCAGGCGACGTGAGTACTGTTGGTCTGTCGGTCTGTCGGTCTGTCGGTCTGTTGGTCTGTCGGTCTGTTGGTCTGTTGGTCTGTTGGTCTGTTGGTCTGTCGGTCTGTCGGTCTGTTGGTCTGTTTGTTATTTGGTTTGTGTTTTATTTGGTTTGTGTTTTATTTGGTTTGTGTTTTATTTGGTTTGTGTTTTATTTGGTTTGTGTTTTATTTGGTTTGTGTTTTATTTGGTTTGTGTTTTATTTGGTTTGTGTTTTATTTGGTTTGTGTTTTATTTGGTTTGTGTTTTATTTGGTTTGTGTTTTATTTGGTTTGTGTTTTATTTGGTTTGTGTTTTATTTGGTTTGTGTTTTATTGTGTTTGTGTTTTATTTGGTTTGTGTTTTATTTGGTTTGTGTTTTATTTGGTTTGTGTTTTATTTGGTTTGTGTTTTATTTGGTCTGTGTTTTATTTGGTCTGTGTTTTATTTGGTTTGTTTTAGCAGTTTGTTAGCTTGATTGTTGGTCCATGGTGAGTGTGGACTATGACCACTGGTGGATGGACTAGGACCACTGACACGATGTGTATTGCGGGCCACATCTCATTACCATGTGTTGTGACGGTTTGTAGGTTAGATTAGAGTTGGTTAGAATAGTTTCGAACTTTGGGAAGAGTGCGGGTGTGAGTTGAGTTAACCCCGGGGTGTTTGTGTGTTGTTATCCCAAGGTCGAATGCCGGTATAAAAGCTAGAGTGAGCGATTGTTTGGCGGCTTTCTGGTAGCGACTAGCTTAGGGGAAGTAACGTTGATTTGTGATTAAAGTTGATTGGAATAAAATTACTGGAACTGTGTAGCATTTGAGGAGTCGAATAAAATTACTGGAACTGTGTAGCATTTGAGGAGTCGAATAAAATTACTGGAACTGTGTAGCATTTGAGGAGTCGAATAAAATTACTGGAACTGTGTAGCATTTGAGGAGTCGAATAAAATTACTGGAACTGTGTAGCATTTGAGGAGTCGAATAAAATTACTGGAACTGTGTAGCATTTGAGGAGTCGAATAAAATTACTGGAACTGTGTAGCATTTGAGGAGTCGAATAAAATTACTGGAACTGTGTAGCATTTGAGGAGTCGAATAAAATTACTGGAACTGTGTAGCATTTGAGGAGTCGAATAAAATTACTGGAACTGTGTAGCATTTGAGGAGTCGAATAAAAGTCGACCTCTATCAGGTAACTCGCATGATAGTGTGCTAAGATGTGCCACAGGTGTGTTCTCCAAGTGTGTTAAATGTGTGTTGCAAGTGTGTTAGCGGAGTAAACTACAGGTGTCTCTTCGAGGTATCCAACAGGTGGGGGTATTACAGGTGTGTATTACAGGTGTGTATTATAGGTGTGAATGGTGTCACGTGTATGTTGAACCGGTGGAAAAAAACATGGTAAAAAAAACAAAAAAATGTAATCACAAACTATTATATAATTTATGCGCTAAAACTAGAAAATAAATGATTTTCTTCGAATATGTAAATATATAATAATGCACCACTATTTAAATAATTATGGTACATTTTAAATTTATATTTTAATGGATAATTTTACCAATTTTTAGGAAGAGACCCACCCACTACTATTTGAATAACTATAAAGAAAAGTGTGGGTCTCTTCCTAAACATTATCCACTACTATTTAAATAACTATAAAGAAAAGCGTGGTTCACTTTAGTATCTATTAGATACCTTTTACTAATATTTAGGAAGAGACCCACGCTTTTCTTTATAGTAATTTAAATAGTAGTGTATAATTTATTTTCTCCTTTTTAGTGTATTATTACATAAATTTAGAAACTTTAGTTAATTCGTAAAAAAAATAATAAATAAGCATCCAGTGAAGTCAAAATTTATGTGACATGGTATTTTCATCGGGTTTTGACCGAAGCACCAAGTTTCAAAGAAAATAGTCCGTTAGAAGTGGTCAAAATATTGTTCGCCACTTTCGTTACATGATGACGAAGACAAAAAAAAAAAAAAAAGCACTAGGCATCAAGTTGAATAAAAGCTTGTAAACATAAAAATTATTCAAAAAAGATTTACACAAAATGTCAATTAAAAAATATCAGGAAAAAAACTTCAGAAAAAAAAGCATAACAAATTTTTAAAATTCTTAAAAAACTAATCACAGACTATTCAAGACAGTCTATTCAAGACAGCCTATTCAAGACAGTCTATCCAAGACATCCTATCTAAGAGAGAGTATTTAAGACAGCCAAGACTATCCAAAAAGACAGACTATCCAAGACAGACTATCCAAAAAGACAGACTATCCAAGACAGACTATCCAAAAAGACAGACTATCCAAGACAGACTATCAAAGACATTGGGGCAACATATCACGTGTTTCCCGCAATGAGACGGGTCATACATGGTCATTACATTCGACAGGTCATAGGACATCAAGAGGACATCCAGGACATCTAGGGGACACCTAGAGGACATCGAGGACATGTTGTGGTGTGGCAGAGGACGGCTGAGGTCTGAAGGTGACAGCTCATTGTTTGACGAGGAATTCAAAATTTTGGTGCTCGGCGCTAGGGATGTCGGGAAAACTGGCAAGTAGTTGTACTTTCTTCTACTTTCCTGTCATCTTACCTCTCTACTTGCCCCTCCACTGCCTCTACTTGCCTCTCTAATTGCCTCTCTACTTGCCTATCTACTTGCATATCTCCTGCCTCTACTTGTCTCTCTACTTGCCTCTACTTGCCTATCTACTTGCCTCTACTTGCCTCTCTACTTGGCTCTACTTGCCTATCTACTTGCCTATCTCCTGCCTCTACTTGCCTCTCTTACTCGCTTCTCTACTTGCCTCTCTATTTGCCTCTCTACTTGCCTCTCTACTTGCCTCTCTACTTGCCTCTCTTACTCGCCTCTCTACTTGCCTCTCTACTTGCCTCTCTACTTGCCTATCTCCTGCCTCTACTTGCCTCTCTACTTGCCTCTCTACTTGCCTATCTCCTGCCTCTACTTGCCTCTCTACTTGGCTCTACTTGCCTATCTACTTGCCTCTACTTGCCTCTCTACTTGGCTCTACTTGCCTATCTACTTGCCTATCTCCTGCCTCTACTTGAATCTCTACTTGCCTCTCTACTTGCCTCTCTATTTGCCTCTCTACTTGCCTCTCTATTTGCCTCTCTACTTGCCTCTCTACTTGCCTCTCTACTTGCCTCTACTTGCCTCTCTACTTGCCTCTCTACTTGCCTCTCTACTTGCCTCTCTACTTGCCTCTCTACTTGCCTCTCTACTTGCCTCTCTACTCGCCTCTCTACTTGGCTCTACTTGCCTCTACTTGCCTCTCTACTTGCCTCTACTTGCCTCTCTACTTGCCTCTCTACTTGCCTCTCTACTTGCCTCTACTTGCCTCTCTACTTGCCTCTCTACTTGCCTCTCTACTTGCCTCTACTTGCCTCTCTACTTGCCTCTCTACTTGCCTCTCTACTTGCCTCTCTACTTGCCTCTCTACTTGCCTCTCTACTTGCCTCTCTACTTGCCTCTCTACTTGCCTCTCTTACTCGCCTCTCTACTTGCCTCTCTACTTGCCTCTCTTACTCGCTTCTCTACTTGCCTCTACTTGCCTCTCTACTTGGCTCTACTTGCCTATCTACTTGCCTATCTCCTGCCTCTACTTGCCTCTCTAATTGCCTCTACTTGCCTCTCTACTTGCCTCTCTACTTGCCTCTCTACTTGCCTCTCTACTTGCCTCTCTACTTGCCTCTCTACTTGCCTCTACTTGCCTCTCTACTTGCCTCTACTTGCCTCTCTACTTGCCTCTCTACTTGCCTCTACTTGCCTCTCTACTTGCCTCTCTACTTGCCTCTCTACTTGCCTCTCTACTTGCCTCTCTACTTGCCTCTCTACTTGCCTCTCTACTTGCCTCTCTACTTGCCTCTACTTGCCTCTCTACTTGCCTCTCTACTTGCCTCTCTACTTGCCTCTCTACTTGCCTCTCTACTTGCCTCTCTACTTGCCTCTCTACTCGCCTCTCTACTTGGCTCTACTTGCCTCTACTTGCCTCTCTACTTGCCTCTACTTGCCTCTCTACTTGCCTCTCTACTTGCCTCTCTACTTGCCTCTACTTGCCTCTCTACTTGCCTCTCTACTTGCCTCTCTACTTGCCTCTACTTGCCTCTCTACTTGCCTCTCTACTTGCCTCTCTACTTGCCTCTCTACTTGCCTCTCTACTTGCCTCTCTACTTGCCTCTCTACTTGCCTCTCTACTTGCCTCTCTTACTCGCCTCTCTACTTGCCTCTCTACTTGCCTCTCTTACTCGCTTCTCTACTTGCCTCTACTTGCCTCTCTACTTGGCTCTACTTGCCTATCTACTTGCCTATCTCCTGCCTCTACTTGCCTCTCTAATTGCCTCTACTTGCCTCTCTACTTGCCTCTCTACTTGCCTCTCTACTTGCCTCTCTACTTGCCTCTCTACTTGCCTCTCTACTTGCCTCTCTACTTGCCTCTCTACTTGCCTCTCTACTTGCCTCTCTACTTGCTTGTGTATTTGCAACCATTGGGAGGGGCGGGGCTGACCTATTTCTACAGCAACCGACGGCTATAAATAATGTGCTATCGTCAAGCAGATTCCACTTTATCTCCAGGTGTCTGCAGGTGTCTGCAGGTGTCTGCAGGTGTCTGTGTGTTAGTCAACAACGTTTGTGCGTCTGTACCTGGGTCAAGTGGGGGTTAAGTGAGGGGGATCAGTGTGGTGTGCGGGTGGTTTGTGGTGAGTGTTGTGTGTGGAGGGGTGTGTAGTGTGTGTAGTAAGTGAACGGGGTGTGTGGTGGTGTGGGTAAGTTCGGGAGGTATGTCTTGAGACACATTTGCAGCTTCCTCCCCCCCCTCCCCAGCATGTCACATATATAAAATGTACGTGTCAGTACGCAAGGGGGGGGGGGGGGGGAAGCAGGGGAGGCCATGTTCAGCAATGTGGCGCCTTTTTTTGGAAACTTTTTAAAACTTAAAGTTTTAGACAATGATATTTGTTAAAATAAGATTTTGGTCGGCACATCTATGTAAATCACAAGATTTCTTTTCATGCTAACAAATGACCGCGAGTGAAATTCTCCTTATTTGAGCTACATAACGAAAAAAAACTTTTGCCGAACGACCCCCTTTATCTTTATATTTTGTGTGGTCTTAGAAGAACGCCAAGGGATGTTAGAAAAAACTCGCCATATCCGGAAAAAATCTGTTAAGTGGTCAAAACTGCCCTGTCGTATTTCCTTATATAACCTTTGTAATTTATGTAAAAAAAAAACACCAGTTTAATTTCAATACAAATTTTAGGGTACTTGACCACTGTACATCTGGCTAATTTTTTGCACGCAACTCTGTAGATGACTATGGCGTATGGGAAAACTGTTGGTCAGACTATAAGCCCTCGATGAGGGCTACAAAATGACCTCCAGTGAAATTCTCCTTATATGAGCTATATATTTTTAAAAAATGCCGAACGATCCCCCTGATATTTTGTGAGGCCGTAGACCGACTAAGGAGGGTAACAAAAAAAACCAACCTTTTTTTCCTTCGTAAAACCCCTTAGGGCCGTTATATTTGTCCAGATGCAGTACATTCTTATATAAAAATTTCAAAAGAAATATCGAATGACTTAAAATAATTGTAGAATCTCGCGTGTCAATAAATACGCAGTAAATATAAATAAAGAAACGTATAGGCCTAGTAAAGTAGGAAGGCACCAGAGGGCAACAGTAGCATTCTGACTTTCATCTTCACAATAGGTAAAATCTTCCAGTTTATTATTGTGTTTTGTAAGGTTTTTGGTCTAAAGTATGAAGTTTTTAAACAAGACTGCTGTAATAATTTTAGTGAAAATTTTAGCCTACTCGGTCTGCAGTTAATGCAGAAGCTTAAAAATCAAATTTAGTGCGAAGGTTATTGGAAAAAAAGTTACAGAAAAATGTGTATTTGCTTAGAATTTGTTGATACTTTTATGTTTTCAGACATTGCAAAGCAACATGCGATTAATAAACTGTAGTGTAAACATTTTAGAGATGTGCGTAGGTTGTATTTGCAAGGTAATATTAATAACACCCGTAAAAATATTTTGTCTGAAGCATGTAGGCTTTAATCTAATATATAAAGCTCAATTCTGTATGTAAAAATAAGTTTGTTTGTTTGTCGTTCACATACTTCAATGGATTTAAGTGTTAGATAATTAAAGTCCTTATGGTCTAAATTTATGAGTTAAAAAATTAATATTGAAAGTTTTGGGAAATAATTTTCATTTATCAAACTGAAAGTAATAATTTTCGGCATGTTCATTAAACACAAGTTTTAAAAAAATATCATCTTTTACAAAAATTCTAATTATGTCTTTATTTAGTCCTATAGCACTTACTTCCCTTTGATAAATTAGGAAAACACAATTACTTCCCTTTATAAAACCATTGCATTAGTGGAAAAGAATTTACTTTTTATTACTTTGTTTTGGTGTTGGGAAAAAAAAGAATTACATAATTAGCGGGGATTGATCAAGTGCAAATGTTGTAGGTATTTTACGGATAACCTTGGAGTATTATAATTGTTCATTAAATTGAAACAGGCGCGTTCGTTTAAGTGAGTGCAAAAGACTATGAATAAGTTGGGGTACTATAGTCGTTCATTAAGCTAAAACAGGTGATTCCGCCCCGGGCGTTTATGTTCGCGTTATTGTTTTCTTTGTGTTTAGGTGGGTTTGCGTTAGTGGTTGCGTTTTGATTTGGTTCGTTTTTGTTCTTTCTTTTTTCGTTTTTGTTTGTGTTTTTTCTTTGGGTTTGTATTTGTGTTTTTGGTTGGTTTTGCGTTTGGATTTGGTTTGTTTTCGTTTGCTTTTTCGTTGTTTTTTTTGTGTTGGTATTGGTGTTTGTGGTTGTGGTTGGGTTTGTTGTTAGGTTTTTGTTTTTGTTTGCTTTTTTGTTTGTTTTTTCTTTGTGTTTGTATTGGTGTTTGTGGTTGTGGTTGGGTTTGTTGTTAGGTTTTTGTTTTCGTTTGTATTTGTAATTGTGTTAGCGTTATGTTTGCGTTTTGTTGTTTTGGTTTTGGTTGGTTGTGGTTTGGGTGGGCAATGCCGGGTTTATGATGATTACTAAACACACAGGTAATGGTCTTTAACAGAAAGGTTTTTCACAGAAGCCAGAGCAGGGCCTGGCCGGGACGGCTAGTTCCATTATACAATAAAATTAAGTGGAATGTTAAAAAAAAATCACTAACTAATTAATCATTCAAATCTCAAATGCTTTTTTTTAAAAAAACCTAAGCAAAGCTAGGCAGTATGCCTAGTACATCTATAGATTTGACTTAGTGGAAGAAAAGCCATAAATAAAGTGGATTCTTTAAAAATAGTTACGCTATGTCGGGAACACTCTAAAGAAAACACAAGGAAATTTAAAAGATACATAGTGAAAGACCGTGACGTCACATGGAACATATAGGAAGTTTTCAAAACGAAACGAAATAAGTACAGTTCTAAAGACGGAATAGTACACAATAAAATAACGTCATTAACATAGATTTGAAAAGCCATTGCCGAAAAAATACACAATAATAATGTGTTACTTGATATAAAAAACACATAACGGCCTAATTTATTTGTCTAAAAGTGGTCTTCATACAGAGTTTCTTTCAGGCATCATTAGGGTAGGGGGCTTCACCCTCCTTCCCCCGACGCCGAAGAAAGTCTACCCACCGCCACACCCGAACGAAATACAATTGAAATTCGCCTACCACCCAATTTATTTTTCCAAGTGCCCCCCCTTGACAAAACGGGTATAGAATATAGAAGTAGGCTCTACCTTTAGTCTGAATGATCCGGAGGTTGGAGGGGGGGGGGGGGGGGGGCACGTGAAATTTTTGTGGGGGGGGGGGGTGGAATTGTGGATTAAATTTTGATATTTATATAACATATAAAAAACCCATCCACTCAAACATCACTACTGACACAATGTCACATGTCACACGTCACTGCTGACACAATGTCACATTTCACTGCTGACACAATGTCACATGTCACTGCTGACACAATGTCACATGTCACTACTGACACAATGTCACATGTCACTACTGACACAATGTCACATTTCACTACTGACACAATGTCACATGTCACTACTGACACAATGTCACATGTCACTACTGACACAATGTCACATGTCACTGCTGACACAATGTCACATGTCACTACTGACACAATGTCACATGTCACTACTGACACAATGTCACATTTCACTGCTGACACAATGTCACATGTCACTACTGACACAATGTCACATGTCACTACTGACACAATGTCACATGTCACTGCTGACACAATGTCACATGTCACTACTGACACAATGTCACATGTCACATGTCACTGCTGACACAATGTCACATGTCACTACTGACACAATGTCACATGTCACTACTGACACAATGTCACATTTCACTGCTGACACAATGTCACATGTCACTACTGACACAATGTCACATGTCACTACTGACACAATGTCACATGTCACTGCTGACACAATGTCACATGTCACTACTGACACAATGTCACATGTCACATGTCACTGCTGACACAATGTCACATGTCACTACTGACACAATGTCACATGTCACTACTGACACAATGTCACATGTCACTACTGACACAATGTCATCTGCCTGCAGCCATCTGTCAGGTCTACGTTGCAGGGCGGGAGACGGGGAACAAGCTGGTTAAACGTGAGTCGTCAGTCATGTCACACGTCAGTCATGTCACACGTCAGTCATGTCACACGTCAGTCATGTCACACGTCAGTCATGTCACACGTCAGTCATGTCACACGTCAGTCATGTCACACGTCAGTCATGTCACATCTCAGTCATGTCACACGTCAGTCATGTCACACGTCAGTCATACATCTCTAAATGTCATCAGGGTGTCACCTATTTAATTCGTCACCTTTATGTCATCTTTATGTCACCTTTATGTCACCTTTATGCCACCTTTATGTCAACTTTATGTCACCTTTATGTCACCTTTATGTCACCTTTATGTCACCTTTATGTCACCTTTATGTCACCTTTATGCCACCTTTATGTCACCTTTATGTCACCTTTATGTCACCTTTATGTCACCTTTATGTCACCTTTATGTCACCTTTATGTCACCTTTATGTCACCTTTATGTCGCCTTTATGTCACCTTTATGTCACCTTCCAGACCAGAAATCTGAATTATCTACCTGGGATACGGTGGACGGAGTCGCCTGCTGCCTGCGGCTTTATGAGCTGAGATTGCCGTCACAGGTGACACAATGTGACAATTTGTGACAGATGACATATTTGTGACAATTTGTGACAGATGACACATTTGTGACAATTTGTGACAGATGACACATTTGTGACAATTTGTGACAGATGACATATTTGTGACAATTTGTGACAGATGACACATTTGTGACAATTTGTGACAGATGACACATTTGTGACAATTTGTGACAGATGGTGAACGATGACACATTTGTGACAAATGGTGACCGATGACACATTTGTGACAAATGGTGACCGATGATACATTTGTGACAAATGGTGACCGATGATACATTTGTGACAATTTGTGACAGATGACACATTTGTGACAATTTGTGACAGATGACATATTTGTGACAATTTGTGACAGATGACACATTTGTGACAATTTTTGACAGATGACACATTTGTGACAGATGACACATTTGTGACAATTTGTGACAGATGGTGAACGATGACACATTTGTGACAAATGGTGACCGATGATACATTTGTGACAAATGGTGACCGATGATACATTTGTGACAAATGGTGACCGATGATACATTTGTGACAATTTGTGACAGATGACACATTTGTGACAATTTGTGACAGATGACATATTTGTGACATATTGTGACAGATGGTGAACGATGACACATTTGTGACAAATGGTGACCGATGATGCATTTGTGACAAATGGTGACCGATGATACATTTGTGACAATTTGTGACAGATGATATATTTGTGACTGATTTAATACAGGTAACACTGTTGCCGACGTTTATGTGTCGTCGAAACGATGGGTAAACCTGAGCACATCTTGAAGCTGTGTGTTAGATTTAATCAAACTATATATATATATATATATATATATATATATATATATATATATATATATATATATATATATATATATATATATATATATATATATATATATATATATATATATATATATATATATATATATATATATATATATATATATATATATATATATATATATATATATAATACAATACTTTTTTTTTAACACTGATTGAAGTTTAATCCGACTTAAACCTCTTAATCCGCCCCTGCTCACAGGTGAGCCCGCAGGTTGAGTGCGATGACCCAATCATCAGGTCCCTGATACAGCGGGCTGATGGTGTTCTGATGGTCTACGCCATCTCCAGCCCGCCCAGCTTCACAGCTACAGCCGGCTACCACCAGCTGCTGCTGGAGGTCAGAGGTCAAGTGGAGACACCGCTGGTCTTATTAGGCGAGTCAAATGTCCACTTTATTCATTCAACTTGAAATGTCCACTTTAATCATTCAACTTGAAATGTCCACTTTAATCAATCAACTTGAAATGTCCAATTGCAGCCAACAAAATGGACTGCACGCATGAGGTGACTGGGGTCAAAGGTCGTGAAACAGCATTTGACCTTGGAGCCTCGTTCTACGAAACGTCAGCACGAGCTGAGCCAGAGCGCGTACAGCTTGTGTTTCATGACGTCATCAGGCAGGTGCGCTCAGTCCGTGAGCACGCACGTCAGCATCCATGCACGCTCGTGCGAGGTCTGATCCAAAGACTCAGCCTCAAGGCCAGGCGATCCAAATCTAGGTCAAGGCTTAAGTTGACTGACCAAGGTCAAGGATGACTCCGTCAGCTGTGTACATGTGTACAGTTTTAGTGTGTGTGTGTTGACGTGTGTAGTGTGCATGTGTGCATGTGTGCACACATTTAGAGTGTGGGGGGGGGGGGGAGAATTAATGGGCGACCACCCCGGGCGCAGGCCCTTGGGTGGGCACCAAAACGGGTAGAAGAAGTACTAAATGTTAAAGTTTCTAATTACAATCAAAGTAGAGAAAGTAAAGGCTATAAGGCTTGCTTTACATAGAGAAAGTAAAGGCTCTAAGGCTGGCTTTACATAGAGAAAGTAAAGGCTATAAGGCTTGCTTTACATAGAGAAAGTAAAGGCTATAAGGCTTGCTTTACATAGAGAAAGTAAAGGCTCTAAGGCTGGCTTGTGATTTGATTGGGTTCTATCTGATTGTGTAACGGGAAAATAAGTACAATTAAAAATACAAGATGGACGGGGAGGGTTTTCCCCCCATCAAAAATAGGAAGGATTTACACCGGATTTATACCTAGATAAATCTTGAACACTGCCAATAGAACCAACTGGATTTCACTGGCCACTGGTCACTAGTCACTGGCCAAATTTGTTTAAAACAAAATCACGCAACTAGTTGTAGTTGTGTTGAGTCATTTTGTTTAAAACTTCCCTGATTGCAATACAAATGGCCTGGATCCATTGTAGAAAACAGCAAGAAATATCACGGATTCTTCTGTGGCGATCTAATTTAGCCCAGGGTTCAGTGCCGGCCCCTCCAGGGTTCAGGTGGTTCAGGTGGGACGTGACGTCATCCAGACGTCGGATCTTTACAACCATCGGATTACATTTTTAGATTACATAGTAAGTGAATGTAATCATTAGTAACATTACAACTGACCATTGACACGACTGACCACTGACACGACTGACCACTGACACGACTGACCACTGACATAATTGACCACTGACACAACTGACACAACTTACACAACTGACCACATTACAGACTTTCTATTAATAGGTACATTATTTTGTCGCTAATGAGTTCTAAGAGTTTTTGATTGACCCAGATTTCCCATCAGAACCAGCACAGGTGCCAACAGTTAGCGAGAGAATGTTCTAGAGATTCTAGTGACACCACTAATTAGAGAATGTTCTAGAACTTTTAGTGACACCACTAATTAGAGAATGTTCTAGAGATTCTAGTGACACCACTAATTAGAGAATGTTCTAGAACTTTTAGTGACACCACTAATTAGAGAATATTGTAGAGCTTTTAGTGACACCACTAATTAGAGAATGTTCTAGAGATTTTAGTGACACCACTAATTAGAGAATGTTGTAGAGCTTTTAATGACAAGCTGGGAAATAGCCAAGTCATTTTAAAAATAGGGCGGACGTGGTGTGTGTGTGACGGGATGGGGGGGGGGGGGGGGTGGGAGGGGCAGTTTACCTGTGTTTTCTAGTACAGCGAGCTCATTAATTGCCTGCAGACACACACAGACACAAAATAATTGCCTGCAGACACACACAGACACAAAATAATTGCCTGCAGACACACAGGGTTGTTTTTTGTGTGTAGTGTGTGATGTGTTGTGTGTGGGATAGAATTCACCACACCACACAATTGGTTAACAGTGCGGGGCTTATAACACATCGGCTCTTGGAACTGTATACAGCTGTGTGTGTGTGGGGGGGGGGGGGGGTGTGTTTACGATAGAATGTGGAAATAGATATTGTCCAGCTAAAGGTACATATTATTAGACGGTATCTATATATATATATAATTCTCTTCTGGGAGACGCTAGAAAACAAGCTGTAAGCGCGCTCCCTACCACCCCACCCCTACATGGTCTGGTGAGCTGTGGTTCACGCTAAATGTTTACATTCGTAGAGCCGGCTTTAGTGACGGCTATTAGGCGCAGATAAGTTAGTTTGAAACGATTTTAAACCTAGGGGGGGGGTAACTAAGAGGAGGCTGCTTTCACGGGGGTGGGGGGTGTAGGGTAGGGGTTGGGGGAGGTAAGGGGGTTAGTATCGTTCTTAACGACATACTGATAGTGTTTTAAAGCAAATATTTTCAGTGGCAGCATTGGTATTGTCGAATTCACAAATTATGAATTACTGAAAAGTAGAAAATAAAACAACTAAAAAGCGGCATATGATATGCCGCGGGTCGGCTCGTTAAAATAATTTTTCTTGTGAGTATTTGAAAAACATATATAGACATAATTGTATAATACAAGTAAATTAGGGGACACACACACACACAAACATACACACACACACACAAGCATACACACATACACACACACAAACATACACACACACAAACATACACACACACAAACATACACACATACACACACACAAACATACACACACACAAACATACACACACAAAAACATACACACATACACACACAAACATACACACACAAAAACATACACACATATACACACACATACACACACAAACATACACACACACAAACATACACACACATACAAACACACACAAACACACACCTATGCCTACTTTAGCTGAAGAAAAGATTGATAGTGCCCACAGAAAAACATTTTCATCATTGTCCCCAACCCCACCCCTCTCCTTCTCCACCCCACCCACCCCTTACCTGACCGCTTTCTCTGGAGAGAGAACATCACGTGACAGACGAGACAAACGACACAAACTTGACACAATTTTTGGACGCAGAAAGTTTCAGTAACGCGAGGACATCAAGGTAAGGACATGTCCTGTAGCATAAATGCCCTGTAGGACAAATGCCATTTAGAGTTTCTATATTGCTGGCCAGTGAACTGGTTTTATTAAAATTAACTGTAAGAAGTTCAATAACAAGATGAACATTGTGAATTTTCTAAAGTGATTTCACAAAATTGGATTTGATTTTTTTTTTAATATCAAAATTTTTAACTAAGTACCTAAATATAATATTATTTTATAATAAATATAAAGCGAAATAGAAACTAGTTTCATCTATAAATTTTTAAGGTAAATTATTGAGTTTTTTTTTGTTTTTACAAAATCTCTATTTCCATGACATGTTGAGTAACTCTGTAAATATTATACCAGAATCTTTTTTTTAACGGTTGTTTCCCTTTGACTGTCGACTAAGGATAGACGTGTTACAGCTATTCCTAGTGTCAGCTGTTTCCAATGCATTTAATGATATTAAAACGCATAAACCTGTATGGCCAAGTGAACAATGTGTGACTGTCGCGCTGGATGAAGCGGGTTCGAACCATCACGTGACTTCAACATGCAACTTTTTTAAAACACAACTTTTTGTGCCGCTGTTCATGAAAGAGCTATAGAACTTTCCTTTAAAAAAATGTGTTTGTGATGTGATTGTGGAGAAAGATGAACAAGAAAAAAACGTGGGAAAATGTCGAAGGAAACATGACCTTTCACCTGATATTTATTCTATGGGAATTTTAAATGGTAATTGGAAGTTGAATAGCAGTGGGAACTACTAAGTAAAGATTTTTGAAAATACTACTAAACTCTGATTTATTACTTTAGATTTAGAGT